ATATATAGAAGCACACGAACATGTATGCGGCATTGGGTGTGGTCTATGCTTAGCCACACCCCTCTGGTAGCAAGATCCGCCAAACATTGCACTGATCGAATGCGCCTTCTTCGAGTAGCCCTGGCAAGGACACTTCGAGGTTCAAACATGTTCCAGGGATGTAGGACAAATCAAGGAGGTTGTCATTTGGTTGGACGATCATCCATTGAAACAATGCCTTTCGGTGTCCCGGACAGAGGCTGAATTGCGGGAAACATATGTCTGGGTCATGTCCATCAACCAGGATGGACCCGGAACTGCTTGGGATGATCCCTTTAATACACTATGGCGGCGCCATGGCTAGTAGAAAAATGGTGTGGTCTGCCTCGACAAAAACACAGTTTCAACAATGGTGACAAAGGGGGTTTGGATCAGCGGCAGCACTTTCGAACAACATCTAACAACAAGATCCACAGATTACATCTCCATGGAAATTATCTTTTGTCAATTTAATGTAGTCTATGTGTAGATGAGACAGGCAAATCTGCCACTTGCGTCGCTCACACGCTTGTGGAATGGGTCGAAAGCGCCGTGCTTGCGCCGAGAGAGAGTGAGAGAGAGAGAGAGAAAGCCTGGACGCAGCCAAAACTGCCAAAACTGCAGCCAAATGATCCCCCCTCACAGATTCTGTAGCCCCCTAAAACTAGGGCCAACAGCCACTGCTTTCCCGTTCACGGTCCGCGGCGGTCCGCCACGGTCCGACCAAGACTGCGGCCTTGAGAATCATGCTCTTGATCCGGTCGAAGAGGGCAAACTCAATGCCCGGCTTTAAAGAAAGCACGAAATACCTCGGAAGATCTGGGACCTCGCAATATATATATATATATACATAGTGGATTGAGAGTAGATGGCACAATCCCCAAAAGGTTGTTTATAATGTTTATATGGATCCCCTATATAAAAGACATCTTGGGGTTTGTGCCATCTACTCTGAATCCACTGTAAATCTGTGGGAGTGAAGAAATCGGCTCAGGAGTCAAGCAGGGACGGATCTTCTGACCGGCCCTGCTTGGTCACAAACACTCGCAGCCAAACCGATTGGTTGGGGGATCCCAATGGTTCGCAGCTTTTGCCCTCTCAATCTCAACCTCATCTGTCCGGGAAAAAGAAACACTATATAGCCACATCTTGCCACGCAGCCTGTCAATGACAATGATTTCAAAACCCACAGGTTACAAAACCAATGAGACTCCGCCTGAGATCCCTGAGAACACCACTGGAATATGCCAGTTTTCGCCTCAGACGCCCGACGCTTTACCAGACTTCAAGGCCATTGCTAGGCCCTCCCAGGTGAAGAGAGCCTGCCCGGGTCGCATGCGGAGCGGCGGGGCGGCCCCGCTGTAGAAGAGAGGATGCAGGGCGACCAGAAAATCCCCGGGGCGGAAACGGTTCGGGCTTCCCCGAGAAGTCGTTGAAGAAAAGCCAATGACTTCATGTCCGCCCCAAATCCGTACGAGGAAGGTGAGGTTTCAAGAGAAACTGAAAAGAAACTTGAAGGGATCATTATAAAATTAAAATAGAACTTGACAAGGAATACTTGAGTTCATAGCAAACAAAAAAACAGTAAATATAACCAAAACACATATTGTATATATAAGTATGTATCAGTTATATAAAAGGACGTTGGAAAAAATGCCAAAGATATTGCCAACACATTGAAAATAAAGCCGCTGTTTCGGAGTGATCATAAATGATTCATGAAATTCATATCCATCACTCATCAACAGTACACATCTCAGGAAGCACTCGGATGATCTGCAGGCTCCCAACCTTATATGCAAGCGAAATACTATGTACACTTAAAAAAGAAAAAAAAAACATACAAAAGTCGTCGCATCGCCTTATCGGCTCTGGGTGTCAATATCCAAGGGGGAATATCATGGTTAAAGGACGTGGGGTGTCATGGACCTAATTTTCCTTTTGAATGTCCGTTCACTTTCCTTTGAGCATGTATGTTCATGTATGTTCCTCAGAAATTCCTTTTCATGCCCTTTTGAACTTACAGGTTCTTTGGCATGCGTTCTTTTTTCGATTGAAATTGAAATCGTGTTTATTTCTTCATACGGTAGCTCTTCTACTGACGGCCGTTGTTCTTATGCGCAGTCTTAGTGACAGGACCAGCGTCTTCAAACATGGCATGGCAAAAAGTGTTTGACCCAATAATTATGTCTCGACAAGCCCTGTAGCCTTTTGACATGCCTTCGAGATTAATGGCAGAGCTTTGTAAGCCATGTTCCTGTTTTATTTTCTCAGCAATTCTTACTCTCCGTTCTTTTTCCTTTCTGCCTCTTCTCCTCTTCTTCATTCCTCGTCACAGCTTTTTCTAATCCAAACAACGACTTTGCGAGCCACCATGGACGTCAATACCCCCTGCCCACCCCGGAACTTCCACTGCTCCTTCCATTTCGCACCACCCCGCCCCGCCCGTTGGCGCATTCCGTTGGCGAAGCCCGCCTGGCGGACCACTTCGGCCTTGGAGATCTCCGGTTTCCGCGTCTGCAGCTGCACCACCAGCGCCTGACGACACGGGCGTGACCGGCGAGGCTTCACCGATCCGATCTCACACCGACACGGTGTAGGTCACCGGGTGTGACAGGAAAGGAGTCGGCCGTCCCGGCAAGAAAAGCACCAATATCATGTCACCAAGAGTATCTAAGAGTAGAACAAGACCTATAAAAAGGTGGACTTGTTGACCCTTTCTTTGTCTTACTAGGGGGCTTCACTTCTCCAGCCTCCACACCGACCCTCCCTGGGCCCGATGAGACGAGGCTTCGCCTCGATGGGCATGCTGATGGGCACGCAGAGCAGGTCGCCTTGTGGCGCGGCGAGGTCTCGACCGAAGCGTCGGGGAGACCGGGAACACCAACACCCTTTTGGGCCAGCCCCATTAGGCCAGGAGGTCCCCCTTATTGGGCCAGGAGGTCCACCCATCTCTTTCTCCAGTTTTCTGCCGGGTCTTTCTGTCTTTGCTCTGGAGAAACTGACGTGGTGGCACGAAACTTGACAGCTGAGTGACTCAAATAGCCGCAGAGCACGGTGGCCTCAGCACAAGGGGCACAGTGGAAGCCCTCAGGAAGACAAGGCAAACGACCAAGATACCAAGATCGATTCTCCCCCAAACAATCTGGTAGGGAAATCTGCGGGCTTAGCCATCCTTAGTTTTGACGCAAAAAATAGTATACAAGTAGGGGTCTCACTGAAAGCTCGGGCCCAAGGCTCCAGACAAGACGACGAATGACATGGTTGGTTGACAGAACCGCTCTTCAGAAAGATCTGTCCTGCGTCCAAAACCGCACATACTTCTCGGACAACCTCTGCGATAAATACAACAACAATCAGTGAAGATGGAAAGGTGCGCCTGCTAACCTTTCACGGTCTTTGGCCCTGAATCCAACCGTCCCCGGCTCATCCCGGTTGGGGTTTAGCTGGGCTTTCCGGCAAACATCCCCAGCTCCTGCCCAAAGAGCCTGAAAAGGGAAGCCATCAAACACACGCTTGCCATCTCTCGCCTATCCTTTAAGCAATGATTAGTCGCAATGTCTATGGTCAGAAGTAATTGCCCCCAACAAAAGGACATGGGCGTTTCAAGGCCTCTCTCCCATCCGTGTCGTGAGTGATTCCCTTGTTCTACAGCAACAATGACGTAACAACCGAAAAGTGGCCATCACCAGGAGTGATGGCCGCTGCTGCGAACACCAGCGCCTCACGATGCCCCGCGTACCCTTAGAACCACGGCATCTCGGGAAGTCTTGGACTCTACAGCTTGGATCCTTTTTGTTAGGAGAGTAACCTAAGACCCAGTGCAACAAGACCCAGCAAACCAGTTGACAGATCCACCTACTGTACATTATTTGACAGACTTGGGCAGTCAATACTCTTGCCCCAGATGGATCATCAGGGATCTCCTGTAAAATCTCAAGTTCTCAGCGACCGCTGCAGACCTGCGGAGGAAGGATTTGATGGCAGCATAGTTCAGCACGTACATCGCTTTCTGCTCAGTGGCCTGCCAAATGGCCATGAAGGACTGTGTACATACCTGCGAGAGGAACATGATTAGGGCCTAGCAGCTCCAAGTTCATACCTCCTACCAAGGCTGCCTCATGAAAGAAAGGACCGCGTCAAGTTGGAGGAATCTGAGCTGTCTGTCAGCATGGTGGAAATCGAAGTTAAACCTTTGGAACGGCCTCCAGGGCCGAGAAAGGCAAAAGACCGCGATAGAGCCTCGGCAACGGTGCCGGACTCACCGTCTCCGTCAGTGCCGGATGAAAACCGCTTTCATCCGCACCTCATCCGAAGAATTCTAGCTGGTAAGACAACAACAAAGAAGTACAGTTGACAGTTGTTCACCTTGGTCCACTTCCAAAGCTTTCACCCAAATGGGCAAGTTTGATCCAAAATCCAAACGATTTCAGCTAAGCACCGCGCCCAAGCACGCCCTCCTAGCGTCAGCAGCAAGCAGCTGAGCAGCTTCATGAAAGAAAAAACACCGCGCACGAAATGGGTCGGCAACTGCATCTCACAGACCTGTCCTGCGAAATAATCTGCTTGAGCACGGCAAGCAAAGAGCCATCCTCAGCAGAAATCAGCAGAAACACAGCTTGACATAATTCTCATATGCACTCAAATCTGGTCTGTTCTGTGGCAGCCCAGTTTTGTGGGCCGCGTTTACCCACTGAAAAAAAAAAAAAACGTTTCATCAGTTGTATTCATGTTGTTGAACCATTTCTTGCGCAATCACTTGGATTCCCTGTAAAGGATCACCTGTTGAAAAGGTGTCCTCCGCAGTGACCAGCTGCGTGCTCCCTATCTGGGATAGCCCAGATAGCCGCACTGCACAGCTTTGCAGAAAAAAGAGGCAAACCGTCACACGCCCGCAAACCATCGCAGCATGTGCTGCGCAGCCCCTCTCTTTTTCGCAGCCGCGAGCCGCTGCGAACAGCTGGCGAGCCCAGCGGAGCCATTCAGACCTGCCTGCGCAGCATGGATCGGGGCGCCTGGGCTGCGAACACATCGAAAACACACCACTGAAATGCAGTGAAATGCACTGAAGCAAATGAAATCCGAGGCAAACTCCCAAGATTCACTCCAATTTCTTCAGGATGAACCAGCGCGGGGCCTCCTTTGGATTGGTGTGCCCTTCGTTCAGTCTTCCTGGCCCCGGGGCCCAAGCAACAGAACTTCCTGCCGTCTCGTGGGTGATAGCCACCAATCATTCGATGCCGGTGTTCCTTTGAATATTTCATTGGCTCAGTTTGGGTGATCCAATCGTCCCCGCTCAACACAAGTCTGGAGTTGATGCCACCTGCAACTCTCCTGAACACCTCCCACCTTTCCGGCAAAAAAGATTCTGGCCGGCAGTGTGCTCGACTCGTACAAGTGGGCGTTAAAATTTCAGAGCGGTCCCGCAGAGAGATGCAAAATATATCATCCCTAGAGCTCCAAGTACCTTCTGAGAAGGCGTTTGGGGTGGTTTTGGAGGGTCCAAATACCTTCTGAGGTGGCACTTGGAGCACCGGGACATATACATAGAATTATACTCACATACTTACTCACATATATTTTCTTTATATCCCGCGTGAGAAATCCACCACAGCTGGCAGCTGCCAGCATGAGAGCATATCAGAGCCTCTTGCAACCGCAATCTGATATCAAAAACATTCACTCCAGAACCACAAAAACCAGCGACGGTGCCTTATCATGCTTTACTTTATCAACATCTCATGCTCTTCTGCCAAGCATCCATGGGCTCAAGCTCACTAAGCATGGTCATCTTCCTGATGAGAAACACAATTGAACATGCATCACTTATTGGACAGGAACTCTTAGTTGATTTGCTGATAACCAAGTTTGGGGCATCGAGAAATTATTTGCGCGTTTGCTCATTGCTAAATTCTGGGTGGATCACGAAGATTTGTAATTCAATGGCTAATTGCCTCCAACACGCATATCAAAACATTGGTACATTACAAGTAGCTTGTTGCCAACCAAAAGGCTCTGCAGAACTGCCAGGCAAAGCATGTCTAAACGCAAAGACACTCGTCTCGTGAGTAAACCCCCGAAAGGCCAACAAAACCATCAAAATCTAAGCAACCCAGGCTACTTTTGATAGTCATACTTGCTTGAAAGTCTAGGGTTTGGGGTGGGTGCCAGGGGGGTCTAACCACCTTCTGAGGATATGGGCCAGGAGCCCTAGGGGAATATGGCCTGAGACCGTCTGCCACACTGGATCACGTCTGGAGTGCGCTCTTGATGTTCCTCTCCACTGCGGAGCAGCCCCAAATCTGTGGATGAGAGTCGCTGAATAGATGTGCTACACTGGTCTTAATGGAGCCTAGCCTAGGAATTTGACAGCCGCATGCATGTCCCAGCCACTAAGACAACGAACCACAAGGATCACGACCACATGCTTTTCTGGAATGCCAAGGGTCGTCATCATCGCCGCACCTTCCTCAGCTGCTTCCTGGCACTTTTGGCGCTTGCAGCTTGCCTATGTACAAAGAAACGAAGCTAGCAAACTTCAAACAACTTCAGAACCCAAAATGACCCTGTTTCGATTGAGGCCCTATACGTGTCGATGGGTTTGTGCCATTTACCTTGCTTTCCAAGTCCTTGAATGTCCCCGTGCATCATCTGCATCGCCCTCCACCAGGACCCTCAGCCCCGCCTCAGCCTCGCGCTGCACACGCTGGGTGGCGGCCCATTCGGCGGCCGCCTGGGCCTCCTGGGGCAGGTCGCCCTGGTGGCATCTGTTTCAGTCTAGCTCGGCTCAGGGTTGTGGGGGGGGCACCGAATGAACAGCCCCCTCAAGACCATGCGAAGTTGAGGCTGGGACAGGTATGCTGAGCTTTGACCGACCCCAAGGTGGGCATCAGGTGGGCATGTGTGAGACTAAGGAGTCCATAACCCCATCCCATTTCACCAAAGCGGGCGCCTATGGGTACATCCCCATTTGCCACAGCAGTTCCTTTCCCGGTTGACCTCGCACTTGAGATCGCTCGAAGGGCTGAAGCGACCGGCCGAACGATCTCTGGTCCTTGGCCTTGAGCGTGGCATCCTCAGCGTCCTTCACTTCGGCCTCCTCTTGGGCCAACCTCGGATGACGGACTTCGTCATCTTCGTCATCTTCGTCCGGCCGAAGATGAAAACGTCTGACTGGTGTAGAAATCGTGTGTGTGTGTGTGACTCGTGTGGGAACAACCCCACAAGACCGCCCAAAAACAAAAAGAACATCGCGATATTCGGCCACCCTTAGCCACCCTCAGCCACCCTTACGAGTCGCACCAGTCACCTGGACCACCGTTGTTCCCAAGACCAACGACATAGGGACGCACCGTTTCGGACTCTGAGGTCGCCGCTTGAGCCAGTCTTCCACTTGGCGCTTCGCTTGGCGTCGAGCACGCCAGGTCGCGGTTTCCTGCAAGCGAACAACAGACCCATTGAACTCCCCTCAGAACCAATTGATAGCCAAGTAACAAGAAGCTAGGCGCGGTGGAGGCCATCGCGTTCTTAGGTTGGAGGCCATCGCTACGAACGTAACAAGAAGCTACTAGTAACAAGGCTTAGAACATAGAACCACTTGAGAACCAAATAACGGCGAACATCATCTGCACATCTTGGCCTACAATTGTCTGTCCCAAATTGAACCCAAACCGAACAGTTTTTGCCGCCTTGGCGGATTCCTCGGCGGCTTTGGCGGCGTTCTTCTGTGCCACCTCGCGCGCCTTCTCTTTGGCCAGGCGCTCGGCTTCCTCCTGGGGGACGATGAAAGCTGGGTCAAACAACGCTGCTTGTGACTCCAAGCTCTCAGTAAGCACCCTTTCCAGCTGTGCGGCCGCACATAAATCACATTAAGTTACTTCAACCTACTATAGCGTACTACAGTATGTAGTCTAATGTAATCTACAGGTATATAACTGTGAGTTAGGGTGCTTTGGCCCCCGCAATTCGTTGGCTTGACGACCAACCCTTATCACTCGTTGAGAAGAACTTCAACAAGACAAGCCAGATGGCCCATCGAATGCAGAAAGCCAGCTAGCTGACTAGGCAGAACTTTGCAAAGAAGACCCCCAAAATGTGTTGCCATGGGCTTTCCAACACGGACTGCACTGCGCCGCAACAGGGCGCACAACAACAACAACAACAACGACGACGACGACGACGACAACAACAACAAAGCCCCACAAAGCTGCACAAAGCCAGAGCCAAAACTTGTGGTGTGTCGGACAAATGTAGAACTGACCTCACAGAGCCACGCGTGGGTACAAAGTGAGTGTGTAGAATAGGGAGACCTCCCCGGCGTTCTGACCCCTGTATCACTCCTAGCCCAAACCCTCTCTTCCCTCAAACAGCGCACACGGCTTTGGCGACAGCTCCCAGGGTGGTGCCAGGCTGGGAGCACCTCAGACCTGGCACCAACCCTGGTCCCTAGACAACCATCCATTGGGATGGCGCGATAGGTTCATAAGGCTTCGCGCATTTCACCACAGCTCCCATCTGAGGCAGGTGGCAGGGTGCAAGCAAGGATGCGGTTCCTGAACAAAGAACACCTGTTCAGAACAAATGCACCACCTGTACTCCAGAAACAACAAAATTCAACCGGAAGGGGATTGGGGTGTGGAGAGATTCCCTTATGCAGAGTAACCCTGCAACGTTCCCGTTCGGCAAAGTAGTAAATCAAGACCATCCAAAACCGGGCCAGGGGGCCCTCTGATTCCAAAAACCCACCCAAATCAAGTCCTAGGATCTGGTCTGCTGTGCCAGCGATGTCTTGTTCCGCCGAAGCACGACGCGGCCGACGCGACGCGGGTCACAGAACCGGAAGAGGATCCGGTGTCCGCCCGTTCCGGGCGGTCAGCGAGATCCGCCGAAAGTCCGCGACTTCTTTGATGGTTCAGATCATCGCAAACACTCCATGGGACTGGAATCTATGCCGCCCCATTGACCCCTGGGATCCCATATGGCATACACGGAGCGTCTGGGAATGATAGTGTGGTATGTGAACCTACCAGGACCTACCATGCAAGATGCATGTAACGTTTCCCCCACCTGTGCAATCTACGCCCGATGCGGTCCTGCGCAGCCGCTTCGGCCAACTCAGAGGCCTCAACGCCAGAAAGTCATCAAGGATGCACCGTTGATCCTTCTTGGTCCTATAGACACAGTCATTACCCCAGTCTGCCATAGTGCAAACCTGCAAGATCCTGCAAGGCTTGTTGATCTCATCGCTTTGAGCAGCATCCCAAGATCCTATGTCATTCGACGTTGGAGTTGGGTCTGAGTCCCTTTGAGCAAATCCCCAGGGCTTGGCTGGTTGAAAACTTCCTTCAAAGGGTCAAAGCCTCAGCCGCTCTCGAGATCTGTCGGGAAAAAAGTGTCATCTCCATTCATCTCCAACTCTTCTGACGCTTCTGCCGCTTCGCTCTCTTTTTCGTGAGTTTTGGTGTGGTTTGCTCATGGCTCCATGAGTACAGACCTGTGAACTGTGCCAGGATTACGACCTTACAGTGGATGGTCACTATCGACAAGGACCAAGGGACCTTGGAATATGTCCCTTCACATCCTCCCTGTCTCAGTGTGCTTAAAACAAACCCCACATATCTTGAGTTGTCGATGTTATTTATGTCTGATTATTTCATACCCACCTCTTTGAATCCTAGGGCTCCCCTCAAGGGTTCTTGGGCTGGTGCTTCCTTGCTGCGCTTGTTTCGTCTCATCCTCCTCATGTTCCAAGCAATCCCGGCCACCGCCGTCTCCGCTCCGCGCTCCCGCGCCTCCCGGCGGAGGCCGTACCCGAACCGCGATCCCCCGCGCCTTCCGCTGCGCCATGGCCTCCGCGATCTCCCGCGCCGCCGCTCGGGCCACCTCCACAGCCTTCGCCTCACGGAATCCGTCCGCCAGCGCGAACGAGCGGGGGGGAAGGCTGGCGTGAGAGATCTCCGGGGATCTTCGGGTTCTTCTTGGGGATATTCATATATTCATACCAAGGCCTTCAAGGGCCTAAGGGGTGGTTAAGGGACACCCCTTAACAGCTACGGGGCTATAAATAGACACCCCTTGGAGGGTTATATACATGTGTACGTTACATAAATCCATATACATGGTGGTTGATCAACACTTTCGCGAACAACTTGAATAGGCGAACATAGTGACATAGGCCTGATGTCGACCTTTCGATTGACTACCATGTAATTACTGCATCTAGATCTGTCAGGTGCCTACTTCTGGATTTGTCAGGTGCCTTGGTCTAAGCCTTTTGGGTCTTTCAAGATGGGAAGTGGGAATGTTCTGTTAGTGTAACAAGCATGGAGAGTCCCGCGCGCCCACAGGTTCATCTACAGTATATTATACAAGCATGTTCAGGATCCAGTTTGCTCTTGGGATGCCCTGGAACGTTCTGGTTCTCAAAACGAGAGGACCAGTAGACGCCCTATTGTGAGATGAACCTATGAAGACAATACCCTTGCGCACTGTCAAAATATGTGGTCCTGTAGTTCACTGAAAAATGGCCCACTTATGCCCACTGGCCCTTGCTGGTCGGGTCTGCACTCCAAAAGCCGGAGATCTATTTCTCATTCTGATCCATCCTTTCCATCGTCTCACCAGGTCGCCACCCGGACCCTTGGCATCTCGGACCCTCGGTCACCTCGCCTTGGCCTTCTCCGTGACGACCTCGGCGGCGTGGCTCTCCACCCCGGCGGCCGTCGCGGCGGTGGCCGCCGCCTTGGCCGCCGCGGTGGCGGCCTCGGTGGCGGCCTGCGTCGCCTGCGAGGATGACGAAGTGCGGCCCAGCAGGATCCGCAGATCCGAGTAGCATTCGTTTTGGATGGTCTTTAGGGACTGTGCAGCACTTCGAGAAGTCTTTTAGCCGAGTCAAGAATCATAAACGTTCATTGACGGGCGTTCTTTGATCGAGACGAAAGCTGTTGTAGAAGTTGCGGTGTAGAAAGTCATAGGAAAACCATGGTGCAAACATGGGAGAAAAAAGACTATGTATTTATATATTGACCATCCAAGCATCTAGGGCGCACATTTGGGAGGGCCACAGCATCGTTTTGGTCTGCCGTGAACAAGGTTCCTCATCCTTGTTGTTTGCCATCCACAGCTGGCTGCAGTTCTGTCCTTGCAAATCGAGCAGCGAGCCTTCTGTGATGCAGACTCGATCGCTTGCTTCTTGGCGGTCTCCTGGGCATTGGCCTCAAGTCCGGATCCAGCGGCCCGACACCAACTGCTCCGACACATGGTGAACCCCGACTCAGGCTCCAATCACCAAATCCTACCCCGGGAAGATGGATTTTGAATGGATTTGACCCCTTTGAAAAAACAGAGATGGAGGGGGCCTGAGAGTGTAAAAGAGGAAAAAAAACCGAACCCCGGCATTTTGAGATACCTGGGTTCGGTTCAGGAAATAGACCGAAACCTACACTCCCGAAAACTCCACATGGTGGAAGTGGATGGCACCACCATTGCATGTCATTCCTTTAAGGGCCAGGCCATTCTCCACGTAACCATGTGAGTTCCGAGTGTACCCAGCCAGGTTTTGGGGTCAGATAGATATACCAGAACCGCCCTCCATCTCCGGCGCGGACCGAGGCTCCGGACCAAGGCGCGGCCCAGCGCGGTGTTGGCCGCGTAGCGGAAGGCCGCCTCCAGTGCCTGGCTGGTCATGGTCGTGTTGCATCCAGCATCTTAACCTATCTAGTTTCTTTACAGTAAGGGCCATAACGGGTTTCTCATGAAAAACGCCGACTTGTCAATCCCTATTGATGAACGTGAAAGGGCGCCCACTTTCCCTCCCCCTTAGCTCGTGTCTTCTCAAACGCCCAATGTGGCAGAGAATTGGACCCTGCGCGGCCGCCTGCGCGGCCGCCTGTGCCGCCACCTTCGGGTCGGGCGTGCGCGTCATCGGCAGCGGCGGCATGCAGGCGCTCACCACAGCACTGCCCTGCGCCAGGCCCTCGCCGATGGCGCTCTTGGTGCTGCTCCTGTGGGTTTTGCCCCTCGCAACATCGGAGGGTGGCAAGCTTGCTTCTGTGCAGGATTTTGGGGTGTTGGCTTATATAACTGGTACAGGTAGAAATTCTTGATTGGCTTATATAACTGGTACAGGTAGAAATTCTTAACAAACTGGAGACAACAACGATACAAATGGAGTGGTGGTTGGGTGGTGCACCGTCCTCTTCTCCTTCTTCAGAATCATCCAGACAGCTTGAAATAGCTCCCTCGATGGTTTCATCACTAAAGCCTAAAGACATCTAAAGAAAGTTCAAAGACTCTGCTCCATATACACTCCTGCAGATTAACATGAACCCTGAAAACCACTGCATGGTAGATGAGAATAGTCCTACCAGGGTCTCTTTTCATCTCTTTTCAAGCTCCATCTTATTTTCCTCAAGGGGAGCTGCAAGTTAAAGTTGGGAAACAAATGCCCAAAACCACTTCCCAGCCCCCAACAGCCTCACCTGATGGCACTCTGCGTGAAGGGCACTGTAAGCTCTGCCGTGGCCTCGCCCGTGACGGTGGCACCCGCCGAGGCAGAGCGAGTGGCGTTGGCCTTCGCCGTGGCGTCCGCTTTCACGGTGGCTGGCACCTCTCCAGGGGCCGAAGGACTTGCAGGGGGAACAAGACCGCAAGGAATATGTGGGGGGGGATCTCCCAAGGAGATTCGGCGTGTTCTCATCTCATCCTGAAGGCAAGGTTGATATACTGTAATATATATATATATATATATTATTATATTATATACTATATATCCCGACTTTGCTGAACATCCTCTACCGATAGATCCACGGGGTTCCTCAAGATCCGTGTGCAAAAACGAATGCTGACACCACGATCAATGGGCTTTGTGCGGTACTTGATCCTCATGTTTCGTACTGGCCTAAGCATTTTCCCGGATCCAGTCAAATGAGGTCCGTAAGACCCTGTAGGGTTATGATCCAGAGGAGGGCACCCAACGTCACCTCCCCGGTCTCGGTCTCGGTCTCCGGCGCACCTGGGCCATGTGACCGCCCCGCCGGTCGGGTCTCGGTGTTGAAAGGGGGTGGAAAAACGGTGTGAAACGCGGGCCTCCGAAGTGTGAAACGCGTTTGGGAAAGTTATGGAAAGAACGAGAATATGCCATGCCAGAGTACATACAACACAGTACTTACGTAGTTCTTCAAAGTGACCTTTTGATCTCCCGGTTTGAGGTCACTAGGGCCTGAAGAAAAATCATGGATAAACTGGTCTAGACCAAATGTGACCAAACCTATCAGCGCTTGAAACTCTTGGATCCAGCCGGTGCTCCAAAGCCTGTGCCTTCATGAGCAAACCTGGGGAAACCTCAAATCTTCTCCAAATCCTTGGCTGATCCTCGGGAACGGGTGATCTAACAGCAGGGCGTTCCTGCCTGTGTTCCATCGACACCACCCTTGTTTCATTGATAATTAAGCGTCACCTGGGTTGACCATGGATCCATCCACCCCACCCAAGAACGAAAGAAGATCGAAAGCATCTGTCCCACTCTCCTCCCACCTCTCTCGGCAGCCTGCCGGGCATCCTGGTGCTCCTCAGATGTCGAACAGATCCCATGGTTATTGGCCTAATTATGGACTCCTTTCTTTTTCACGGCTCGTGTGGCTCCTGTGGTATATAAACATATATAGATCTTGGATGGTCCAAATATGATTTAGATTCAGCAGTGTGTGTGTGTGTGATTGTGTCACAATTGTTCAGAATTACTTCCCCCATCTGCCAGTCAGCCAATTGGCGGTACGAAGGTAGGCTGGTTCCTACTCCCCTGGATGAACCTGCATTGCATGATCATATATTATATTATCTAAGCCGGTTCGCGAGCGTTGCTTTGCTAAGCGGTATACTTTCGCGACCCCGCAGGAAAAAAGGTAAAAAAAGAAAATGTTCGTTTTTTACCGTTTTTACCGCGGATATTGTAGAGTAAAAAGGGGCGCCCCCCCGGTAAAAACGGTAAAAAAAGAAAAATTTTGTTTTTTTGCCGTTTTTACCGCGCGGATGCCTCGGATTATCCCGGTAACCCCGGCAACTACGCTAAACCAGCACAGTATATTATCATAAGTTATCATATATTCAGGTAAACCAGCCGCCTTCATCCAGAAAGCGGAGATCTGCCCCTCGAGATCTGCCCAAGAGATGAGAGAAAATTGGTGACTGTAGCGGGAGATTCAAGAAGATCCGAATCCAAAGGGCATGTGTAATTACCCATACCCCCCGCTTTCTTCACGAAGTCCACCCCCTCTTTGCCGCATGTGGATTCCACCGAATGAACCAAGGTCGACGTGTTACATACGACTAGATCATAGTAGATCTATACAGTACTTAGCACGTAGAGTTACTTAGATCATCAATTACACGTGGATTCCCAATGAAGACCAGACCGTTCTTTCCGAACGGAAAGGCCGCGTTTCTGCCGGCTGTCTGTCCCTGTCCCCCGTGCGTCTGACGGCTCCACCTGGAGGATGCTCCAATAGGGGTTGGGTGCCTCCGTCGTGGTGGTCACTGCCTCGGAGGCGTTCTCTGCCGCCTCGAAAAGGCAGAAAAAAGCAGACCGCATCGAAAACGCCTCGAACACCCGTCTTCGCACTGTCGACATGTGTTGTCATAATATAGGTGGTGCTGAATCAATCCATGCATTCTTGAATGATCTAATTCGTCGGACCATCCCAAATCCGCTGCGCCTGCGACTTGGCAGAGGAGTTGGCAGTTGCATTTGCCTCTCCCGACTTCCGCAGGTCCCACCCCTGGCGAGAAGACACGGTCCCGTGGGCCACGGCCAAAAGATTCGGCTCCCTTAACCTCAAGCTCCAAGTGTTCGTGGTGCAGGTGCACTGTGAGATGATGCCACGCAGGTCCGACCGATGTTGTAGGAACCTTTGAAGGTCCGGTCTGGAAGCCGAGACATGGACTGACAGTCCACAACCGAAAAAGCAACCAGAACAGTCCACTGGATCCCGGAAGGTTCCGTGATGTTCTGAGAAAAATAGAGTGGTCATGAGTCGTCAATGCCAGTGTACCAGGTACCATATACAGTACCTATTGGAATCCTATTGGTGTTCACTAGGAGGGTCTCCCTCTAATTCTCCACCAGGAACGTTAAACGGTCCATGCCCTGATCCCAGTCCATCGACATCAAAAAGGAAAACTCCACTGGGCGGCCCGACGCTCCTGCCTGAGCGGATCCGACTCTTCTTTTGTGTCAGACTTATGCATTGCAAAGGAATCAAAGGAACGATGTCCCGGGGCCAGTTGTGATGTAAACGGAAATAATATATACATGTGTTAAAGTCCATCAATGTGAGCAGCGTTTTTGGGGTGCAAATGTACCACGTTTTTCCACCACGAAGGCGATGATCAAACAAAAACACTGTTCGTGTCAATAATAGTCACAGTCTCATGATTTCTTATGCAACTGAAGTCCAAGTCAGTTCCGCATCTTGAGATTTAAATGTTTTGTGCATCAGCAATGCTGTAGTCTCTCTGTTGCTCCGTTGCAGGTCTGCAATCCCCTCCGCCCACTCGAATCCCCATGTTTCATGCAAAACCCCCACCTGACACTTGTTCACCACCACGAATGTCTGGCATGGTGTTCATTGACGAAACCCATGGGAAACCATTTTCCACCTGGTTTCCGCCTGTGATGTTCCACCAAGTCGCTACCATCACCAGCGTCACCGGCAGCAGCGTCACCGGCAGACGCGTCACCGGCAGACTCGCCGGCCTGGATGAGACCGATGGCAAAAGGTGCCCCCAAGATCCTCAATGTGTAAGATGCCTGAAACCTTCTGACCAAAACCTTCGGTTTCTGTCACAGATGTCGACTGTCAACCTAATCATATAATATAATATATATATATACAGTATATATATGTCGATCAACATAAGTCAACCTAACCAAAGTGTCCGCCAGCGGCTCTTCTACATTAAGTGGGGAACGGCACCACTCTCTAAAAAGGCGAATGTAAACAAGAAGAACTTCGTCTGGAAGAGACCCACATGGAACCTGAAAACCACTGAGCTGTAGAGGAACATCGTCTTCCAGTCTGGTCCATGCCAAGCCCGGTGCCATGTGGATGTTGCTCGTTTTTATTCGTTCATCCCTTCTATTTGGTCCCCTTGTCACCGTGACCGCTCCGCGGGTAGGACACCGTGTCGTCGATTCGCTGGACCCCGCTGGACTTGGCACGCCGCACCTGCTCAGACTGGGCAGAGGCGTTGCCAGTGGCATTGGAAGACGTGGGCTCTTGGCCCGACTTCAGATCCCACCCCTGGCGGGAAGAAACGAAGGTCCGGTGGAGGTCCGCGAAAAAAAATATAAAACACTCTTCAGTTGCAATGAATCCGACGAAAATGGAATTGATAGAGGAAAAGCGACGACTATCTGAGTCAAATCTGTGTTGCATAGGTTCACAAAATTCTCAGTGCCGGTCACCTGTATTTGGTACTTTGGGACACTCCAAACATTCCATTTGGGGAGAAAGTCTTGAACATTCAGGGCAGCCCGACCGCCACATCGCTGCCTCAGCTGAACAACAAAAGTTGCAACTACCTTTTCTGCCCAATGAACGCTGACGTGTACAGTAATTGGGGTACCTCCCATCTTATATATGAATACGAAACATGTATTCTCCTGCATGATCGCATGATTTTGGCAACACATGATGCTGATTCGGCTGGGCCGCGAAGTGATTCCATCGTCTTTGTGGAAATCCTACATCGGCTTGATTGCAGTTACCAGTTCCCATGCAAACATGATTCAGGAAAGCCCATCCGAGATGTTAGGCAAATGTCGATTCTTCTAGGGCACCATGCTTCCTGGTGTTTCCTATTGATACTATTGATACTCCCGACTCCCTTCCTTCTTCGGGTAAGGAACACCGGTGGCCCAATCTGGTCCCTCCAAGTCGCTGTTGGCAGTCGCTGAAGCATTGGCCGTGGCGGACTCCGTGGCCTGACACGACGGGTGTACCAGCAGTTCTGCAAAAGATCCACCAGGCTCAAATCCGCTGAGCTCCCCAGAAGATCCGCAAACAAAGAAACGGTTGGTTGGGCTTTGAAGCAAACATCCCAATTGGATCCTGTCCATGTGTTTTGATTGTACCTCTCAGGCCCATGTCGTGACTCGGAAAAGTGCTCGTTGGGGGTTGAGAACATGATTGTTGCATTACAAAATCCTGATGTCATGCACCTCCGCCTCGATGTTGCTTTGCCGGACAGTGGCGGTCTCCTGGTGCAGTCAAACGGCCAAACAGCGTGGGCGTTGCCCACAAAAACTATCAAAAATTAACATCTTCCACGACTGACCCTGTCACATGTCTCACCCCTCGCTCACGAGCACCACCGCGTGAGCACGGTCCTTGGCACTGGCGTGAGCACTCTTCGTGCTCACCGCCTTCACCGTGACTGTCTTCTCCACCGACATCCTCCAGCCGTTCAGGGCGGGCGCTCCGGCTCGCCGGAACGTTCCCGATCCGATCGTTAATGGATGTGCTGCCCGTTCCTCCCCAAAAAAGGGGCACCAAAAAGCCGGCATGGTCGCAATCTGAACATGTGACATCCTGATGAAACCGGATGTTCTCCTTCAACTTTTGGGATGCGAAGACAGCAGCACCTGCATTCCTATTCATCTCAGAAGCACTGCTTTGTGATCCACTCAGTGCCAACAGGTTTCCCTCCCCACACCCCTCACTCGTGTTTTCGGCCTCACATGGGCATGGGGCACCGTGACGCGCACCGTGGCGCAGGCCGGGCCACTGACCGCGAAGGCCTTGGGGCAAAAGGCCTCGTGTCGCTCCATACCTCGTGCGGCTCAATGGGATGACCCACTGCGGAGAAAGGTATGCAGGTCCCGGGGGGGGGCGGCTCAATCTGCCAAGTAAACCTGCACTTGGTGTGAGGTATCTGCAGTCTTGTGGAGTGGTGCCCCCAGATCCAGTGGTGCTGGCGCGAGTGGAGATACGGAACCTGCAATGCTTCTATCGAAACCTTGTGTTGGGGGGTTCATCTACCTTGTTCATCTTGTTCTGTGACCTCATGACTTTGCCCACTTCGCCGACTCCCATCTGACCTACCTGGTCCTCGAAGTGCTGCCAAAGCGCCCCACTGACAATGGTCGTTGGGGTCGCAGTCCATGCACATGGCCTGACAGGCAGTCCATGGGCCACACCCAAGTCGAGGGGTGTCGCATGGTGTCAACATAGCCTAGAAGTCCAAAGACTATATTTTGACCGGCTGAAGTAAAGGAAGTTCCCTTTCAGGTCCCCTAAAGACCATTCTTTTTCTAGTCTTTGACTCCCAGGGTATATACATGTCTAGTTTCTGCCAGTTGAGAGGTTGAGACCCGAACTGGGACCTTCTAGTGGTACGGAATGGTACATCCCTACACCTCCAGTCGTACCTCCTCAGGTTCAATATTTAAACCCTCCTGGCACATCTCCACCCCAGTCCCACCGAACCGACCCGGTTCGGTACGAAAACGGATGCGCCAGCTCCGACATCGCGACGCCAGCTCCGACATCGCGACACCCGTGGCGGTGGCAACGAAGACCACCGGAGAGAGCACCACAACAAAGCAAAAAGCTCATGAAGTTCATTGAAGTTCCTATGTTACTTATTGGGGCTCTGTTTTCACAGTCGCACGCCCCAAAATGCTGTAAATATATGTAAATACTGCTGCTTTGGGTTGGTGGCCGTGCATATTCCGGGAATTTCATGGAATTTCCAAGATCTGGTGGGTTGTTTGTCTTCTCAAAATTCGGAGACCAAATGGGTCCAGATCTATTCTCCCGTGCTGGCAGTGTCTCGAGATCTTCCTTGTTTGAGACACCCACATGTTGAAATCGGCAAGCCAAACCATGCCTGCTTCAAGATGGAAGCATCATCTGACTTCCCATCACTGTCGAACTCCATGGGAATCTTGCAAATCAGCCCATCCTGCTGTTTGGGGGCTCGTCTGGTGGAGAGACTGGGTGGCGCAAGCAACACATGTCAGCGGAAAGAACTCAGCTTGGATGCCATGTCAGGTCTCAACACTTGCCAAGCAAGCACAACAATGGGAATCCCCACATCCAACGGACAGGCTAGTGATACGATGGAAGAACCGTGGTGCAGGATCTTTTCCTATAATTATATGTAGGACGCAGGAGGATAGCGCCAAAAGCCCTTTGGAACGCCAGTGGTGCTACCAGCTGGTGCCAGCAATGGGCTGTGCTTACTACCAGGAACATGATAGCTCAACCTTGTCTGATACCTGAAGATGCTCATATTAATGGCATATTCAGTTTGGAGCGCGACATCTTAGGGACACCCTTTATTTTCGGGCAAACGAGCACCTCATAGAACTGTGGTCATGCAAGCCGTGGCAAATGATATACCCCAAAAAACTATTCGTCTGCTAATAAACCTTGCGAATTTACGAGGATTCGGCGGGGGTTGGGGGCATCTTGAACCTGATTGACCTCAAGAAACCCCCAACTGCCCAGCAGACAGTGCACAGCTCAGATCATGAAGATTCTCTTGGAGTTCAGAAAGGCAGTTATATAGGTAATGGTGAACATGGTGAACATGATGAACCATCCCAGTCGCTTTACCATCTAAGTCGCTTTGACTTCCACATCCAAAAGAATCTGGAACCGTTTTTTCTCTTGCGACAAAAACGGAGGACACGTCGTTCAACGCGCCGCCTGACACACCGCGGGCCAGAGCCGGGGCGAGCCCATGCCGCCGCAGTTGAGACCCTTGGACTGCTGAGGGAGGCCTCGGGGTCCAGTCGAAACTTGATGCAAATAAAAGGTGCTGTTTGATCTGGATCCATTTCCGAGAACAGGTTGAGGAATCAAAGTATGTTTACATGTATGTATGTACGTACGTAACGTACGTACGTACGTACGTACGGAGGGAGGGAGGGATGGATGGATGTATTAATGTAATGTAATGTAATGCAATGCAATGCAATGCAATTTTATGGTTATGTATGGTATATTATGGTATGGTATGGTATGTACTTTCCTCCGAGTGCATTCTTGCGAACAAACATCATCAAGTTGCCACGAACATGTAGTTGGGCGGCTTGAATTGTCGCTTCAAAATATTCCTATACAGCCGGAGGTGCATTTCTGCAGCTCGCTGTGCCAAAAGCTTCCCAGGCCGCACATGCACTCATCCAGCGCCTGGTTGAAGCAGCCGAAAGTATCCGAAAGTGCCATTCCAGTGTGGGCATATACACGCACATGAATCCACCTGCTGGTGATACCAATCACTAGGAGCGAGCTCCATTCAAATCAGCAAGCCACCAAGTCTCTCTTCTTTCTGGGTGGCTGCACCTCTGTCCATGGAATTCAGATGAATTCAGTCCCCTTGAAGCCACTCTGCTCTGCTTGAACCAAACACTCTTCCCAAACACGCAGGGCTTCCCGACGTCCCACACTTATAGCCCACACCAATCCATAGGTCCCAACCGACCGTTTCATGATCACCCGACCTGCAGATCTGCAGATCTGCCGAATCCCCCACGGTCCCCGCGTCATCCGACCGGACCCCGGGGGCCGGCCCACGGTGCACCCGTGCATCACCCATCACGGTCCCCCCCCCACGGCGCCTCCACACTGACGCTGGTCTTGTTGATCAGCTCCACGTGGGGAGCCCGGAAGGCATCGGCCTCGCTGCCGAAGGGCTGGACCGCCTCCTCGGGGGCGAGCGGGTCGCCGAAGGCTTTTGCGCAGGGAGAAAACGGGTTGGTCATGGTTGGCCAGTGGCCAGATGTGGCCATCCCATTGTCCAATGGACGAGTCTTGTAGGGTGTCTATTGGAGTGATAACTAAGGGGTGATCTGCAGGGAAGGCACCTTCATGCATCTTCTTTCCCATCCAGAACCGCCCTGTTCGCTCCACACCGAGACACCAGATCTTGCATCTCTCCCGGGCGCTTGGCCAGCAGCACTGCCGAGACATGCAGCGGCCATGCCACGGCCAGCAGGGCACACTTCATTGGACCTCAGGTGTGCGGGAGGAGGCGTGGTCAAGACAGCACGGGGTGCTGTTCCCACCACAGGCTGCGTTAGGCACGGTTCCTTGCGGACAAGTCAACCTGGGGCCCCCCTCCGGTGGAGGCGATGAAAAACCTCCCTCCGATTGAGCCGCAACGGCTGCGATTCAGCCAAAGCCAAAACGATTCCGGGCAAAGGATAAATATAATGTTAAAGGGATGAATCGGGAAGGAAATTCAACAAACTGCTTGGAATGATATGAATAATGCCATAATTGCAAGATAGCGGGTTCGCACGCTAGGGGGTCATGCGCAGCACAGTCTGCGTCTTTTCGAGCATAGCTCAAGGGCCCTGCGGTCACAGGGTCGTGAGGTTCGAACGACATGGACACATGCCAAACTTGCACTGGTCTTTCTTTAAAAAGACGAAAAAGTGCTTTTGAGGTTCTGTACAGTGCTATGGACTCCGCGACTGCATGTCAAAGTCGTCGATGGAGTCGCTTCGGCCGCCACCATGGAAAGGCGCCCTTCGTCAAGGATCTTCCTCAGCTCATGCTGGGGCTTGATCTTAGTCAAGTGGTCAGCACGTTGAACGTGTGTCGAGACCCACTTGTAGACGTCCTTGACGTTCTCTCCGGAGGGCTCCAACTCTTCAGCCGCTTCTCGCAATGCGCCGATGTCCAAGGTCAGGCGCTTCTCCTGAGCGCTTCCCAAGGGGCCGTCCTTCACCAGGAGGTCGTAGAGCGAGCGGCAGTCTGTGGCAGTGGCTGCTGGAAAAATCTCGGGCGCCAATCTACCCGATTGCGTCGGCTGGTAGCTCTCGATGAGCATCTCGGCCAGCAGCTCCCTCGTGAACAACACTGCATCTGTGGCAGCGTCCAATCCCATGGTTTCCGCAGCAAGCGTAGATCTGCACTTGCGACGGATCCTGTGTGACCTCCATTCCACCAGGTTCGCCACATCGCCGGCCAAGGTGAAGACCTCTGGGCCAGTGATGAAGACCAAATAGCCAGCCTGGGACTTCAAGTCGTCCGTGTTCGCCCATGATGCATCGCTAAAGCCGATGATGCGGGCTTTCGTCAAGTCCAATGGCCGGAATTGGAGTGCCCAATCCTTTGATTTCAATGCCTCCTTCAAGAGGTTGTTGATGGCGAGGAGGTTCTGGATGGTAGGATTTCCACCCATGTTCAAGGATGTTCCTGCGGCCAGGTCGGGACGTGTCTGTCCGACAAGCCAATGCAAGCAGCCTCCACCGCTCTTGAGCTCGGTGGTTTCTTGGGCGTTGAGTGCCGAGTCCTTCATGATGGTCCTCCACTTCGGCACGGGTGTCAATGTCAAAGCCCTGATGAAAGCTTCTTGCGACAGGGTGATGATGTCGCCCTTCTTGGAAATCTCCTTGCCGCCATAAATCAAAGTTGGCTCCTCTCTGATGTCCTTCCATTCACCAAAGTCAAACTGGGCTCGAAGACGTTCAAGGACTTTGTCTCCAACTCCAGGCTCGCCCACACATAGAAGGTCATCCACGTGTGCGCCAACTGCCACAACCAGTCGCTTGTCCTGGTAGAAGAGGAAGACGGCCTTGTCGAGCGTCGACTGCATGAAGCCCAACTTCACCATGGAGTCCCGCAGGTGCCGCCTAAGGAGGCGTGGTGAGTTTGCCAAACCAAAGATGCCCCTAACAACCAAAAGTAACTGGCCAGGGTGTAGTCCTGGTAGTCCTTCTTTCGGCTGCCTCACAAACAAAGGCTCTTTCCTTTTCGCTAGGGCCTGATCGCCCTGCAAGAACGCGCCGGTGATGTCAGCGCAGATGATGAACCAGCCCTTGTGAGCAGCTGCAAGTTGCAGGAGGATCATGAGGCTGAGACGTGTCATCGTGGGAGCGTCTCTTCGAAGTTCCAGCAAATCTGGATCTGCATCTCCTCTGCAAACGATGCGGGCCTTTGGTTTGATCTCCAACCAGGGCGTTGCGGCGTGCTTGTCACGGTAGCACGCCCGAGCCGCCAAGATCCGAGCGGGATCAAAGGACAGTTCCACCTGTCGGCTGCAGTCCCAACTCAACACACGAACGGCCTCGTAGCGAAGCCAGGTTGTCCATTCTTTGACCAGCGCCTGTCGGTAGAGCTCCCGTTGGTCTTCAGGAATTGCACTCCAGGGAAGCTCCTTCTCAAGTGCTTTGCGCTCTTTACGGCTGATCTCGGACTGCATCTCCAGCACGTTGTGGATCATCATGACGTGGCTCTTCTTGTCGATGATGGAGAAGATGGTCACGCCAGTCCAGACCTTGCCCATGACTTCGGCTCCACGTTGGACCCAATCATCCACGTGCTTAGTCCAGCCGGTGTCGGTTTTCATCCATGTCACTCTCTTGGTTCTCCATTTGTCCAAGGGAAGTGGAAGTGCTCGGACACGGCCAGGGTCGTATAGGGCTCGACGTGGTCGAAGGTGTTGTCGGAGAAGTAGTGCACGGTCAGGAAGCCATTTCCACTTGTCATCGGTGTGCACCAGCTCCACGTTGTGCTCTCCAGGTGGTGTTGCAGGTTCTAAGACCATAGGTTCTTCTGGTGGATTACTTGCCTGTGAACCACTTGGTGTGGTCTTCAATCTCTTTGGAGGTGCTAGGGATTCTTCTCGGGACGAGGGAGGCCTGATGATGCCTGTCACTGGCGTCCCTGGTGCTCTTGTTGAAGTCCCGGCCGCCAGAGTAGTCAGATCGGAACCTGTCGAAGCGGCTCCATCTGGTTCTGGAGGTGGTGGATGTTGATCAGCTTCATCAGTCTCCATCTCTGCCTCCTGCTCCTCAGGGAACTCGTCGATGAGGTCGTTGAAGACACTATCGTCATCTTGGAAAAGAGGGATCTGGTCTTCACCATCCTTGAGGTCATCATCCTCCGGAACCGGTGGCAGATCGCTACTTCTCAGGTCGTAGTACTTGTCCGGAGGGTTCTCCTGGAACTCCTGGAGGATGTGCTCATGCACGGGCCAAAGTTCTGTTCCAAAGGCGGGTCGAAGTTGTTCTCGAGCGACCAGAACACAGCGGCCTCCAGAAGCGACCCAGTAGTTGCTTTGCTTGACCGAAGAGTCACCCTTGTGAGGCCCGATGATGGTGCCTCTGTACCAGGAAGCTGGAATGCGCTTCCCTTTCTGCCCTTTCTTGCCTTGCCTGTATTTGGCTTCTCTCCAAAAGGCGACCAGTTCACCTGGATGGTAAAGCTCCTTCGCTGGGTGTGACTTACGAAGGATGGCGGTACGCACCGCTTCATTGAGGCGATAGGCAGAAAGCTTCTCATCGGCCAAAGCCCGTGTGCGGGCGCGCTTCTTGAGCTCATCGTCCAGCTCCATGGCCTGCAGCGCCTCAAACTTGCCGTCCGGCGACAGAATGTCCTGTGGCAGGACAGGACTCTTGCCGAACACCCACTGGTAGGCAGAGCATCCCGCGCTCCGTATCCGGTCGTTCATGGCTGCGCCAACGGCGCAAGCTAGAGTGCGCATGTCTCGCTCTCCAGCGAGGTTCAAAGCATCCACGAGCTTGGAGGCTACGTGTTGGAAGGCACGGTTATATGCCTCGATCTGTCCCACTTGCCAATGTGCTTCAGCAGGGGGGCAGTCTATGTTGACTCCCATGTTCCTCATGCGCTCTGCAAACTCGCCTTGGAAAGCGCCGTCCTGGTCAATCCAAAGCTCTTTGGGAAAGCCTGCCCAGGAGCACCACAACAAGGTCACCAGGTCGAAGATCTGGCCAGGCTCTCGTGTGGGGCATGGCCAAAACACGTTGAAGGAACCGTTGGGCTCCAGGATGTGCAAAAAGGCGAAGTTGTCCTTGTTGGCATCCGGGGCGTAGACAAAGTCCAGGCAGAGCTTACTGTTAAAGGAGCCAATGACCTTGAACGAGGTGGGCCTTGGTATTCCAGGCTTCTTGGTTCTCTCGCAGGTAGCGCATCTCAACCTGCGGCTAAGTTCAATCGCATCGGGCTCAACTGTTCCATCTTGGATCAAGGCCCTCGTCAGGTCGGCTTGTGAAGGGTGGCCCAAGTTCTTGTGCAGCTTTGCCAGTATTGGGGCCAACTTCTTCTGCTTGTTGTTGAGAGGTGGACCAATGAACCATTGCTCATCTCCGCCAACGGACTGCTTGGTCAGTATTGGCGATTCCAGGTCCACTGTCGGGTCGGCTTGCGCTGATTGCCTTGGAGGTTCTTGTTGAGGAGCGGGTTCTGCTGGGTCTCCTGGAGGATAGCCCAGGACGAAGATGCCGAGCCTCACGGGGTAGACAAATCGTTCCCTTGGGGCCTGCGCCGTCTTGAGGTGCTCGGTCTCGATGGTGAGTGAATCATCTGCATGTAGTAGCACCGAGCAGCGATGGCATTCTTCTAGTCCAGGTCGAACTCGCTTCGCTTTTGGCAGGTGTGCCAACTGGATGTTCATGATTTGCCAAGGAACCAATGCCGAGATCTTGGCATAGAGAGGTGAATCCGGCGGCACGAAAATGCTGCCTTGGTTCTTGCGACCCAAGACCTCCATGGCCTCTTCAAACAAAGGCCGCCACTTGTCCTCGGACTTGTCCGCGTCCACGAACCAAGCCGTCTTATAGTCCTCCTCCTCGTTGAAGGTCTGGGTGCCAAAGTCTTCCTGCTCAACCACTCTCCAGAAGGCGCGACAAATGGCGTCTGCCAGAAAAGGTGGGTAGCATGCTGAGGCTGCAGTATTGGAACCTTGCACGGGTTCATGTTGGTGCGAGCCATCGCACTGTGCGTCCAGCTCTTCAATGAAGTAGGAGTGAGTGGCGATGAAGCGAACCCGCTTCATCATAGGCCTGCCAGCCTTCCCAACTAACCCGAACATGCAGAGGCAACTGTTGGTCTCATAGTACTTCTCCCGAAGGCGAAGAATCTCAGGTTGCCGTTGTGAATCTGCAGTCGCGGGGTTCTCGCGTAGAGCATGGCCTCCATTCTGTACCTGGACGGAGAAGATGTCCTCCGTCAGCTTCAAGAAGGGTCGGTCACGTTCTTGTCGAGCTTCCAACTCCTCGGGCTTGTCCTTATAGTTGACGTTCCTTTGCAGGATGGTCCACGGTGTGCAGGGGTACTCCACGATGGCCAAGCGAACCGGGGTCTTCTTGAGGTTCTGAAGCAGCCATCTCCTCATTGATCTTTGCCGAAGATCCACACCGTACCGGATGTCCAAGGGTTGAAGCGCCCTCATCCTCCACAAGGTGGTGCCACGTATCGTGACCATGGAAGATCCACCGAACACTTCGATGAGGTCAAATCGGAAGTTGGAACGTGGCCACTTGGACTTCTGAAGCTTCTGCATCACCATCTTCTGTTGCCACTTCGAAGATGACAAAGCTTGCCGGGCCATGTTCTTCATCCGCTTCTGTTGTCCAGGCTTCAGCTTATGGGCTTGAAGAGGTTCATCTAGCCTTCGAACTCGTCCTCGCTGATCATGACCGCGTCGTTCTCGTCCAGCGAGTAGACCACGGGCACTCTGGTCGAAGTCTTCTTCGTGCCAGTGGGCTTCTTCTCTTCCTTCACCTTGGCTTTCGCCTTGGCCTTGATGTCCTTGAAGTCCGGAGCTCCATAGGCCATCTCCGTAGACGTATGTCGCGAGGAAGACGAGTAGCCAGAGGATTTGCTGGGTGAAGCCTTTATTGAAGGTTCCGGGCGTGCTGTCGCGCCCTTGATGACCTTGCCGCCTGGTCGATCGCGAACTCCCACCAAGACCTTGTACACGGTCACCAGCTCGTTCTTCAGCGGGATCGTGTAGTCCAAGCCGCGCCACACCATCCCACAGTTGACGCACTCCAAAAACTTGCCATGGGCGTTTCCATACCTCCTTCCATGTTCGAGGAGGTGTGGGCATCTGTCCGGCTGAGTCCGGTAGTGCAGGTTCATCGGATGGGGTGTCTGTCCGCGAGCCAAGGTCGTTGCCGGTGGCAAAGCCGGTGGAAGGTCCTCCATGTAGGTCGCATCCATCTCGACCAGAGCCTCGGCATAGCCCATCAGCGCCGGTGAGCGATACTTCAACTCTCTCACCGCCTTCGTTGAAGCCACCATCTTGTGCACCACGTGGATGTAGGTCAGGAGGCTGCGCACCAAGCGTCCCCATTGCTGCGTCTCGTGGTCGCCAGGGACGTGAGCTTTCCTCATCGAGGGGCTTGGTCGCGATGCTGTCTCTTGACCCGAACTCTCCGGGAGGCACGGTGAATCTCACAGCTTGTCGATCCACCGGCAAATCCGGTGGGTGTACAGAAGCATCAAAAGCTTTCAGGACACGTTTGTGTACGGTGCACTTGACTGAAGATGGATGAACGCGAAGGGTCTCACCTGATTCTAGCGACACATCTACACCAGCTGGTTGCCAGGGCTTCATGACTGCATGAATGTCGAGCGTCGAGTCGCAGTCACGGCCGAAGAGGATGGTGTAGCCCGTCCAAGGTGCTTCAGATTGAGGGGTGTCATCCCAAGTGTCCACCAATTCTTTGTTAGACCCATGCTTGATGGTGATCCTGAGGGGTTGCAGTTCATCAGGTCGGGGACCATCAACCACTTCAGAAGGGGTGAACCTTGTGGATCTTGGACGGTGGTGGTGTCGAACATATACCTGAGGATGATCGAGGTGGTATTCCCATGTATCTGACTGTATAGTGCATGGAGACCTCATAGTGACTACGCCATCAGAGAAGGGATCATCCTCAGGGTTGTAGACATGGGTGCTCACGTTGGAGGGCTGCGTATAGACTTTTCCTGTGGCCCAAAGGACTCCAGCGTAGCCGTCATGGCATGCTGTGCGGTCTTGTGGCCAGCCTGCAGCCGGAAAATCATCAACTGCCACAACCAAATGTCCGGTGTGGTCTACAAAAAGATCCGCAGCGGCGTCTAAGGCCTTGAGGTAGTTCTGCTCTCCAACGTCGATCACGGCTCGAACGAGCCTCAGCCAGTCTTGTCCAGCCAGCCAGGGGATCTTGCCGCTGTTGGGGTCCGTGTCGTCCAGAGTGGACGTCTTGATCACTGTCGGTCGTCCACCGATGCCTACCGGCACGTGCCATCGGTGAAGTGAGGTGCGAGGATCTCCAGGACCAAACCTGTAGGATTCCTTCTCCTCAGTGACCAGGGGCCGGACTTCGAACTTGCGCTGCAAGATCTCCGCGACATGTCGGAGCTGGGTGAGGCCACCAACGGTGTTCTCACATGCAGTGTCAATGGTGAGGTAGGCGCCGTTCTTCTGCACGGTAGGCCTCATTCTCGTGTTGCTCAATGCGCCACGAGGGTTGCACCAAGTGATCTCCGCCATGTCGTCCTCGTCCGAGGTGATGTCATAGTCAATGGGGGAGTACTGCACCATGTGAACAGGTAGAGGTCGATCGTGTGGAAGGCCTCGAGGTAGGCATTCTCCAGGAAGTCCGTGTGCTGGTACTTCGCGATGTGGTCTCTCCGCATTGACTGTCAGCACCACTCGTAGCTTGTCCAAGTCGACATCCGAGGTTGCCGAGGAGGAAGACGGTGGGCGTAGTAAATCCCACACTGAGAAGCCAAGGTCGTCATCTGCTTGAGGGAGTCCAAGACGTTCTCGTGCTTCCTTGATGGCCTCCGGCGCAGTCGATGCATGGCCGCGAGCCTTCATCCGCTTCTCATCCATGTGCTTCTGCACCTCTGCCGTCGCGGTGAAGACGTCGAAGGGCTTGTCCTTGCAGCGGGCATGCTCGGCCAGGAGGACGGATGCAGCCTTGGATGGTTCGGTCTTCTGCCCTTCGCCAGTCGGATCTGGCTCTGCTGAGCGAACCTTCCGCTTCATGCGGTTGATGTCTCGCACCACTTCCAAGGCGTCTTGGGCTTCCAGCTTGATGTCGGACTTGTCCACCTTCTGAGTGCGGTAGACGGTTGACGAATTTGTTGGCTTCGCCTGTGCATTGTAGTCGGAAGACTTAGGAGACGAAGTAGTTGGCATCTTCTGGCTGTAGAGCTCGTTCTGGTCGTAGCCACCGCCAGTCATCCAACCTTCACGCTGGTGTTCTTCATCTTCCTGCCATCCATCCCAAAAGGCATCGTCCCAGCCCTCTGCAGCGTCCTCATAGTCGAGGTCATAGTTGCTGGTCTCGTGCGCCTTCTTGGGACCTTTGCACTGTGGATCACCTTTCCAGTGACCCTGCTCACCACAAGTGGTGATCTTCTTGAGTTCATCCAGGCTCATGCCACGGGCCTTGCCCTTGCCAGAGCTCGAAGAACCCTTGGAAGGTCGCGAAGTCGAAGGAGAGGAGGTAGATTTGCCCTTGCCCTTGCCCTTGGTCTTACAAAAGCCTTTGCCGCGGCCCTTGCCGTGGCTGTTCTTCAGGTAGAAGCCTCTGGCCTTCACAGCCTGCGCCAGCTTCTGCCTGTTCTCACGGTGTGTAGCAAACACCTCATGCAACTGTCGGGCAAGGTACTCGACGTCCGCGTCCGCCAAGTCTGTCTGAACGGGGTCTTCCTTCTCCAGCCATGTCTCCAGGTCGACCTCGGTGTCGTAGGTCTCATTGCCATCCCAGTGGCCCTGAGTCTCGTGTGCTGTCCTTGACTTGCCATAGCCGCGACCAGTGTTTTGGTCAAAAGCGCCACGGCGAGCGTTGACATAGGTCTGAGGGTAGAGGAGGTCCACGGCGGCCTTGATCTTCTTCCACTCATAGCCGCCTCCGGTCCGCAACAGGATGTTGGCCTGTCGCTCCAAGCTGCTATTGGTGTGCTCGAAGAACATGTAGGTCATGACCTCGTCGGGGATCACCAAGCCGGCTTCCTTGCACTGCCTCGCAGCCTTGTCCAGCATGTCGCCAACTTCAGCCAAGGTCCTGCTCTTGTCGTTGACGGTCATCCGGAAGAAGCCGCGCATTGCAGAGCCAACCTTGTGCATCCTCTTCTCGTCGAACTTCTCCTGCAAGACGTGGATGAGGATGCGCCAGCCTTCAGGGACTCCGAACGTGCGGGCAGGCACGTCTTCCAAGTACTCGGCTGCATCACCTTCTAATGCAGCATGGAGGCGAAGTCCGATCTCCGAGTCGTCGATGATCTTCTTGGCGATCTCGATGTACGAGTCGACTTTCTGCACCCAATGCTTGAAGCATTTGACATCTTTCTTCCGGTCTCCATCGAAGGCCGGGGCCTGAGGCAGATTGCCTCGTGGTCGATGTCGTGGTCCTCCATCCTCATGAGCTGCCTTCGAACGGGTGCTCGAAGGCGAACTGCCTGCTCCTGAGCCGGACGCTCGGGGAGCAGAGGGGCTCTGACGGGGCCCATTCCGACCAAGACGAAGTCCTCGAGGAGGTCCAGTGCCGTAGGCCTCCGCCAGTTCCTCATCATCGTCTTCGGGGTAGGTGTCACCGGTTTCATCATCCGGCTCGTTGAAGCTGTCTCCACCATGAAGTCCTTCTTCAGGTAGTTCAGGGGGTAGTGCTCCATCGTCATCATCATCATCGCCTTCATGGCGGTCGCCAGCAGCGCCGAAGAGGTCAGCAGCGGCCGGCATGGACAGCGAGCACGGCGATCGAATCGCTCCGCTGCCAATGCAAGATAGCGGGTTCGCACGCTAGGGGGTCATGCGCAGCACAGTCTGCGTCTTTTCGAGCATAGCTCAAGGGCCCTGCGGTCACAGGGTCGTGAGGTTCGAACGACATGGACACATGCCAAACTTGCAATAATGCTGCTTCAAGCAGAAATTGTGATGTGCTCCTCAGCTCCTTGGGGTTCAAGGCTGGTCATGAAACAACTGTATACATCTGCATGCTACAGTATTGCTTGTACCTCTAAGACGTCTACTTGTAACTTGTAGCTTGCTGATTGGCACGACGGAATCACCAGTTCACGGGTATTCCATTGAACTTCCAGGGGGATGTTTGACCCATTCCATTCGTCCATTCTCAGCGCCTCCCCCGTTGCACCATGGAGTTGAGGACTGAAAAACCTGAATCCATCGGTCCGCCAGAGACAGAGGTCCACACGCTCTTCGTTGCAAGCTTCACCTAACCGGGCGTGAAGCGACATGATTGGCCACAGGCTGGGGGAAAGGACAATGGCCGCAGGCTGGTGTTCAATCGAGACGATGAGATTGACATTTTACCAAACATCAGGGAGCTCTCGCCCACCTCTGTCCTCTGTCCTCACGGACATGGGAAGTTTGGATGAGTCACCCAACCCAAATGCCGTGTCCCCCCCGTCGTGTTCGTCCAGACCCCACGACCTGCCATGTCGGTCCACCGGCGCGGTCGGTCGTCGGTCACATCGGCGGGTCCACGGCGCCTTGAGGGTGTCAAAGGGGAAGGCGGCTGCTCGCCCCAGCAACCTCATCCATCGGAACTGCGTGGTGTTTTTCCGTGGCTTTTTCTCGGCAGAATGAAGACGAGTTCTTTCAGTTCTTTCTCAAAGGAGGGGGTCTTGTGCCCGGAACCTATGGCTCTATAGATGGTTTGTATGTTCATGTATGTTCAGTCCACCCAGATGCGCCAGGCAAAGGACTCAACGCCCCCTGGCTGGGCTTTTGAGGTTTTTCCGTGAGAAGTTGGGCACTTGGTGAAAAGCGGACAGGTGAAACCACGTGTGAAATCATCTGTGCAGATGAAATCATCACTATTTGTGCATCTTCCCATCAGGTCCCATCCAGTCTTGAAACAGGTGAAGCATCACCTCCACATGTTGCTGGGAAGCCAGACCCCCCAAGACCACCAGTAATGCCCTCGGCTACAAGCTCCATGGCATCAAGGTATAGCCAGCGTTTCAAAGGAGCACATGATAATATTGATAAGCATTGATCGATGTTGATGTATCTTCGCGTCTGAAAGTTGCATCTTCAGGGACCTGTCTACAACTCTTCAAACTGAGTGGGTGTTCACTGTGTTCCCTACTCTATTGCACTATAGGCAGTACAGTCTCCTCTCGAGTGTGGACTTGACACTGGGCAGCAAGGTAGATTCAAATCAACTCCTACTCCAAAAGACTTATGTCGCCTTGCACAGCAAACAAACATGCTGGCATGGAGTCCTTCTTCCGGCGTGGAGTCTTTCTTCAATGCATCTTCTTAACGGCAGCTTGAGCCTACCTGACATTTGTGAGCAGCATGGCCAACCATCTGTTCGGCTGCAGTTATGCATTTCAGACATGGGCCATGCCTATCTCCGCTTTTCACCTCGCTGCAGGGCCACCGGTTTGGACTCCCAAAGGCTGGTCGTCGCTTTTCCTCGCTGCAGCTGCGCCGTCAGAGCCGTCGTAGGGGGGCGCGGCGCTGTCCCGGCGACGGCCGGTGTCGCAGCAGATGCCTCTCAGCGAGGAATGGAATAACAGTTAGTTTGTGCTTCTTGGGTGCTCAAACATGGAAAAGTGAATCCCTTGCAACTTGTATAAAACGTGTTATTCTACAAGCAGTATGTTGCGGGGCAAATCTGAGGGAGACTGACAGTTGATATGGGGCAATCTTCGCAAGAACATTACTTACTGGCATTCATCATTCATTTCCGGTGAGGAGCCGCAATTTCACCTTAAAGCTCACAGCAAAGAAGTATAGTCAGTATAGTAATTATGTTTATTCAGGCCAGTTTTTGGCTAATAAGGAGGATTGTGGAGAAGATTCCTCTATCCAGGATGCGACTCAGGTTGTGCTCTTCCGCTTCTCCATTGGACCGCGAGCCCCTCTCTTTTGGATCATTGACTGATGAGGTAAATATCGACCAACAAAGTTTGTGGGGGGCAGGTGCAATCACCTCCGCATCACCTCCGCATCCTGATGACTAAAGGCTTTGCACAGAGAAGCCCGTAGAGAAAATCTCTTTACGACGGTCTGCGAACTCCGAACACTGTCCGACCCCAAAACCCACCAAGCCCTGCATCCCACTCAGATCCCTGGATGAAGATATGTTTTGCAGCCCCAACACCATCTACAGTAGCTTAACCTTCCCTGGTTTTGACCAACAGCCACATGCTTGAAGGAAGCCCCTGCATAAATAAACAAGACGATTTTCACTCCAGGTTGTCTGTTTGACCTCTAAGTGACAGCAGCAAAGGGCCATGGGAATTGCATTGCAGCAGTGGCTGTGCACACTGGCATCCAAAAAAAAAAGAGACATGGATCAATCTAGCATCTTCGAGCAAAACCGTGATTCCAACAGAAAGCGGGCCAGAAAATGGACGAAAACAAACGCTCCCGTGTCCGCTTCGCTGCGTCGTCGTGCGGACCGCGCACGGTCGCTGCTGGTTCAGCGCCGCCTGAGGGTGGCGGCGCCGGAGAAGGGCGTCCGTCGACCTGAGTCATGGAGGCCCGTCCCTGCACCGATGTCGCATCTGAAAAAGTGGTGGTCGACCCTTCAAGGTGTGCTGCAGTGGTGCCAAAATGTGCAAAGGAAGGGAACTAGAACAACATGAACAACGCTTCTGGCTGATTCTTGCTGAGCTTCTCATAGCTTCTCTACTCCCCAAGTCCAGAAACTGGAGTCCTTGAAGAGATGTGATGTGAGCACCAGAGCACGAGCCCGGAAAGTCTGTCTTGCCCTCCGCGGCCCGCGGCCGTGGCTCCAAGGTGCGAAGAAGCAGCTCCGCGCGAAGCGAACTTCGAAGCACGGCTCCGGCGCCTGGCGCGTGCTTCCGGCTCCGCGGCTCAGCACGGGGGGTCGAACGGAACACTGGACTTGGAGATTGGTGAGCGAGGACGTGTTCACCAAAGCAAGTGAGTAAACCGTACACTCCCTGAAATAATCATGGAAATGGAAAAGCACTTGCATTGTAGAAGAAAATGGTCATCCGCGGGGCCATCACTTCCACTTCCGAGGTTGTTCACAGGGAGTGTAGGCCGTCAATCAGCTGTAAATTGCGGCTGTCACAGCCTACCTGAGAGGATGTCCAAGGTTCTATACTGGTTTGGATTGAATATGATTGAATGACACCCAGAATTGCCATATCATGCCACAGACCTTGGCGAACGGTTCCATCGCGGCCGTACAGTGTACAGGTCAGTGAACAGGGCCCCGTGTGCAGGTTTCGAGTTCTGTGAATAGGACATATGTAAAAGAATGTAGATAAATGTATATATTAGAAGTTAAAAATGATTGAAAGTTACATAGAGGCCTGCCCTTCCAACACCCTTTCATCCCCTCTTCTTGCCTGCCTCGGTTTTTCTGGCTTGCTGCCATCCATACACCTTCCCCTTGCGATCCTCGACTCAGCTCAGAGTTCCGACTTGAACCAAGATCTGAGGTGCTCCAACAAGCCGCTTCTTCGCCGGCAAACATACCTGACCGGTCGGCTGAACCACCGCGGCCAAACGGCAGAACGGGCCCGGGTCGCGCACTGGAGGCATCTCAACAACAAAAGGCCCAACAAGGTCATCGAGGATGATGAATGAGTTCTGAGTTCTGTGAGGAAGGTGCCTGTCGAACTGCCGTGGGGGTCTGGTGTGTCTTTTTCATACCAGATCCATCCATCCGTCCTTCTGCTTGAAGACGCCCCCATCGGGACAAACTGTTTGGGTGGGTTGTACGGCGAGAGAGAAGGTCTCCGAACTTAACAATTATGGTACCCTAGGCAAACCCTGGGAGCCTAGAATGCGATGCATTTCAAGAGATTGGTCAGAATTCGATGTGTTGTATAGGCGTTTTGTACAGTGTGCATGTTCCTTGCTTTTAAGCCCAAAGGTTCTGAGAATGATCGCAGAAGCTCCATTTGTTTGGAGGTGTGAAGATTGTGAAGGAACCCGTCAGACCCCACGTCTACCCAGGAAGCACACGTCTACCCGTCAACGTCCGCACAGACTGCGTCTTGGTGCAGACTGCGTTGCAGCAGCAGGCGTCTCTGGGAGTCCAGGTGTCCAGCAAAGGCCTCACAAGAGAATGGCCTTGGCGCGTCGGAACGGGAACGGAGCTGGCTGGGTTCCAGGCTGCTCGCTCGAGGATGGACGGAGAATGTGGAGGTGTGCCCCGTTTGGTGGCTGTTTTGATCCATGTTTTCACAACATCAAGGGTTGCAGACAACACCTAGCTGCTAGTTATATGGGTCTTTCCACAAATAGGGCTGCGTGTTTAACCTGAAGGTATGTTTCGGGGTATGTTGCAAGGTATGTTTCGGAGGTATGTTTCGCAAGTCCACAAGCAACATCTCATTTTTAGCCATGTATGTTTCGAGGGTATGATTCAACCTATGTTTCGGATGATTTTGAACATGCGTCCTATCTAAAGTGCGTAGCACTGTATTTCTGGAAGCAGCCATATATTGTTCAAAAATTGTCATGGCTTTTGTGAGACCACACACTGTCTTGTTGGGAATCTCATGGAATCTCTAGAAACTGCCTCAGCCTAAAGTAAGCAACTTTCTGTGATACCATGAATCAGGATGGATTGATTCTGCAAATGTTCAACTGGTGCTGCGGCAGTGGGCCTGTCTCCACTGGGATGCCAGTGAAGTTGGTCGACAGGTTGTTGAAAAAGGTTCATTCTTCCGTGATCCATGACAGGTGCAAATCGGAAAAAACAAGAAAGCTCATCTTGTCAGGGGGCGGGGTGACCCAACATCGTCAACATGCTAAAAGAAGTGCTGTGGATGTCTTGCGGGTTCAAGTATATGTAAGCGCCTTGACTTTTGAAACCCTACCGGTTCAGGTCATTGCAGAAAAGGCAGGGACCTTCCATCAAGCTGTCCAACTCGTTTGGACCCCGGGACCCCACAGTCGAGCCGAGATCGTCCGAGTCACGCGATGCTCTGAAGCTGCTGGAGCTTCTCGGTATCCTGACGTTGCGTTGTTTACAGGGATGAGCGCGGCTTCAAGTAGGAAAGGTCGGAAAGGCTTATATATATTGTATTGTATTGGATCATTATCGTAAGCTATACTGACAAATACTGACCAAACAGCCTGTATGCAGGTCTGGAATTATGTTGCTTCACTTTGGGTGCGAAGCTCCAGCGCACGACGATACTTGACCGACGGCATGTTGTCTGAAAATGGGCATGTTCAAAAGAGAGTTGTCACTCATTTCAGCTGGTTCATAGCAGCAAGTGGGTTCCACGTCCAACACACGTCACCCTTTCCAGAGAATCGTGGGAAGCACGATTCTACTTCAGCACGTGCTTATGAGAACACCAGAACCCCGTTTCTGCTTGTTCCTGCTTTTTCCCAAAGACCTAATGATACCCCTTCGGATCCACCCAAAAAACGAGGCCCTTTTCCGTTTCCCGCGGAAAGCCCCTGGCCGTGACGGAGATGAAGAGACCATCGCTTCGAAGAACTCGGTGAGACTCACGCACCGCGGCCTCGGCAACGCGGCGCGAAAAGGCCACGCGGCCGGTGCCAGTGGTGCTGAGCGCACTGCATGCTGAGCACACTCCACCCTGACCGTAGCTTTCCTACTGCGAATCCATTCCCCAATCCTTTTCGTCACACTGCACAAAGCCTGCCAGTTTGTCAATCTATGTATGTGTTATTTTTTAGACTGCAACATGTCGAAGCGTCCACTCAGATTCGGATCTTTTTTGTTGCTTGGTTTCGATGTGTCGCATCATCTCAACCCAAAACCTTTCCAGCCACAGTTGCCAGCCCCACAGCTGCCAAGAGCGAGGCGAGAGAGAGAGAGAGAGCTGTGTTTTGTTTCGTCTGATTTCGTCGGACAAGTCGCCTGGAAGAGCTCTGAGTTATCCTGTCAACACAGCAGGCGAAATCGACCTCACGGAGCATCCCACACATTCGAACCACAGAAGTGGGGCTTCAAACTCCTAGAGTCCCTCATAACACAGAACCACGGATGCGCCCACCAAACCTATAGTGCGTAATATAACTAATATGTGAAAAGAACATAAAAGAAACTGTCAGACATGCTCCTGACTTTGCAACCCTTTGTACGCTTAGGCTTAGCATGCATGCGCTTACTTTCCGCCGGAGTCCACCGCGTTCGAGCCGCTAGCTGAGGTTGTAAAAAATCATGGACTTTGAAGATGTCTCGTGTGGGGTTATCGTTTTGTTTTTTACTCCTTATCGTTTTCTGGGAATCGGCTTACAGGAGCCGAACCTGATTGCTCTATAATAGTGTTGAACACGTCCACAGAACACCTGCAACTGCCATCATCATGTGGTCGGACAGAAACGGTCCTGGAGCGAGTCCAAGGTCCCTTTCTCCAGAACCACATCGAAGCTCTGATCCTCCGTGTCCATCGAGGAAGCGTTCATCCATCTCCACGACCTCGTCCACGCGGATCGGGTGGCGCGGTGGGAAACGGAGCAACGCAAGGTGATCGCTACTAGTAACAAGCAAAAGCTTCAAAAGGAGGCTGAAAAATAGATGACATTATATTTCTACTCCAGCGCATTCCTGCAGCATTCAGGAGATGACAAGCACTTGCAAGAGCATACCGCAAATTAAATCATCAATATCATCATTAATGATATGAACTTCACCAGGTTAGGAAGATCATACCATGGAGCCGAAAAGGACTCTTACATGGTCCACTTCGACGCAATGTCGGACTCAGCTGCTTCCAACCCCCAAAGGCCCAAAGGGCCTCTCCATTGCCCGATTCCCCCGTTTCCCTCCCGCTGAGCGACATCAAAGGCATCTCCCTTTCAAAGCCTCTCCGCAGGCCTTGGGCGAGCCCGGCCTTCGTTTTTCTTCACACCATCCGGCGATCCGGAATATGTATGTGTGTGTGTGTGGCTTGTGATATTTCGTTTTGTCCACCCCCCCAATGGGTTTTGGGATGGCTGAATCTCCATGAGCAAACTTCCCATTTGCAAATGGTCTTGAGGACAGAATCAAAATGAATCAAATTATGTGGAGGCCGCGTCAACCACCCGCAGCGATGCAGGGTATTTAGTCAACAGTCCAACCCCCCATGTCACATCAATGGGGGCCATTCAATTTGGTTGGAAACCTGAAAAGCCTGGTTGCTCAAAAAGCTTGAAACAACACAATCCACAAGTGCGTCTTGGAGCGCTCCAAGGCACGCTCCAAGAGTCCCGAGCTGATGTCGACGTTCGTGATGTTGCGGAATCCTGAGCAAAGAAGGGTTGGGAGTCAACAGATCTTAACAAATGGAAGACAATGAAAACATGTGGGCGGGCGGGTGGGTGGGTGGGGTGTAGTCACCCGTAGTCTTATTTTGTGATCTTATTATGTCTATTCTGAGCATTACCCACTGAGCTGCCTCTCATTCCTCCCGCCTTCTCGATACATCTGCTGAGACATATCTGAACGGCCACAGCCCAACATGAGAATGCTGGCGTTGGCAAACAGGAAGGGTCCAATGACCTCAGTCAGGTTTCGTACCAAAAACTGACGGGGAACACCTCGTTGTGAAGATCTTGATTGTATCCCATTCCCTGTAACAGTGGATGATGATGGCTGGTACAGGCCTTTCTCCAAAATAAGGATGTTCTTATCTACCGACTGTTACAGGGAATGGGACACCTCCAATGTTGGCTTCAATGACCAAAAGAAATGCAATGCGATTCGCCAAGCCAAGCTCTGGACCGAACCAAGGGTTGAAACTCCCAGGCTCAACCAATTGATCGGTGTATCCCAAGTGCTGTACCAATCAAAGCGATCTGCATCGACATTGGCATAATATTCCTGAGAACTCGAAACCGTCCAGAGGAATACCAGACAACATACACAAATACACACAAATGCGCACACTACTCCAACCTCTATGGCCACAGGCCACCGGAACACAGCTTGATCCAACTGAAGTGACATGAGCTTCAGAGCTCGCTTCAGAGCTTCACAGAGCTCTCATTCACATGTCGCCAAGACGCTTCCCAAAACCGTGAGTTTGAGAGTGTGTAGGCATTCCTCGGGTCGCGAGGCTTCCCAAAACCGAGGAAGGGTCCGCGTAGTGGCCCAGCCCAAAGAAATTGGAAGAACCAAAAACAAATGCAAATGGAAACAAACAAAACATATTGTTGTCTGCAGCCCCTGGTTTGGAAAAGAGCATTTGTTAAGCATATGAATGAAGGAAAATTTATCAACATATCATAACATATCATAAAATATCTAAATCTTGGAGGACCTCTGTCACTCCGCACTCAGATCATCTCATGTCCCACGAGTCTCACAAAATCGTCAAAATCTGTCTGAGACCCCACGTGAAACCTATTGTGCTTGTACTTCATATCATCATAGAAAGTGCTTCACTGGCATAGTTGTGCATCATCCCATCCGTATGGAGTATCGGCAGTGAAACCTGTGATATAGCGGATTCTAAGCCATTTCATCAAAGTGAAATGACCCACGCAACTGGCCAGCACGGGCTAGGAAAAACGGTTCCTCTGCAAAATCCATGGGCTTCATGGGTGTTTCATAGGTGTTCCCTTGTGATGATCAGCTAGGGAGTGTACAGTCCATCCGTCGCGTCAGGTCGATCTCCTTGAATCCGTGACTCTTCTCCTCCACTGCCTGGTCATCCAGGCCAGAACTCTGCTGGTGGATCGTGCCGCGCAGGATCCAAGCCATGAAGTAGAGCTCTTGCCCTGTTTTCGACCGTGGGTCGATTGGTTGGTTGCCCCTGCAAGAGGTGAAAGGAAAACATCTCAGACCCTGCTATATCCTGCTATCACAAAACTAAACGGATGCATAACGATGCCATCTTCCCCCACCGACGCCCAATCAGAAACCAAATTTATCCCACCGACGCGTTCGCAGGAGAACCGGCAAACAAGGAACGCCCGCCCGGGCCCGGCCAACCGCCCCGGCCGGCCGCTCCCCGTTGGAACGGCCTTCACTGCTCCGTTCGGCCCGCAGGCGCTGCTCCGCGCGGTGCAGCGCCGCGTCCAAGACGGGGAGTTGCTCCGCCAGGCGCTGCGCTTCGAAGAGCTCCTGGAGCGACGGGGACCCACGAGGTACGGTCCCACCGGTGGGGAGTGTCTGGGTTTGATTCATGTTGTTCCGAAACGTTCCGGTCGTTCTTTGCGTCGCTATTTCCAGTTGGACCAACCAAGGGATTGTCTTCTTTCCGAAAGACCGGAACGGGCACCCCAGCTTGGGTGTCTACATGCATCCGCACGCTCAAGTAGACTCCACAAAAACCGTCTGTTGACTGCCGAAGCGAGCAAACATTCCGCAAAGGCTCGACGACCAAAGTTCACACACCCTGGGGCCACAACTTGCGTCAGTGCATAGCAACCTTGGAAGGCACCTTCTTTCCCCAAGGAATTCGGTGTTCCCAATCCATGTTCCGGGTTCAGGGGTAATGTACCCAAGACTCCAACCATGGAATTGGTGTGTACCGGTGTGTACTGTGTGTTACTGAGGGAGCTGGGATCTCCATTCAACACGGTTGGTGGGCATTTGCCCGCACCCGGTGGCATCGATCAAGCCGTCAAGATTAAAGGGACTCTGATTCTCACCAGCCCAGCATTGGTCCTGCCCAGAATCCAATGAAAAGCGATTAAAAACATTGAAAAACACAGTGAAAAAATAGAACCTTTAAGAGCTCTCCTTGGCTGTTGCTTCGAGTTCCACCAAGGAGTCTCGGATGCGGCTCAGCCTCGGCGGAGGCTTTACTCGTGGGGATGTGATTGGAGATAATCTGAACAACGTCCTCACACCTTTCAACGACATGCCCAAACACATGGTTTTAAACGCTAAATGAATCTGAGATCCAATGCCCCAATGCCCCAAGCATCTAACTTATCAAACCTTAAGCCTTAACTAAGCATCGCAAGTACTGTATATAAATTCAAATGGCCTGGTTTTTCAGGGATCCACCGCCATCCCTCTCAAAACAAGCATTGTTATGTTTTAAACAATGCACAGCTTTGAAACTCACAAGTTCACGCCCAACGTTTTGTGAGCTTGGCTTCATTCATGCAAGCCGGCTCAGTGGTGTCGTTATAGGAAGAATAGAGGGGTCTGGCTGCCAGGTTCGAACCCATCAACCAGGAACATCCAGGAACGTCATGGCGGCGCACTTGCTCGCGTGGACGGTAGCGAGGTCTGCCCGACTCGCTTTGACGGCGCCACCCTCCGAAAGAGCCAGCGGATTCCTCTGAAAGGATGCCTAATTAAGGCCTAGGAACCAGGAACCAGAATCCAAAAGTTCGTTGGAATCATTTGAAAAGAAAGGGTGGAGGTGAGTGGCTCAATCCTTTGTTCCACCCAACCTTTTCGAACGCGCGCCTCGAACGCGCCCTTCACCACCGCCGGGGAGCGATCCGTCGCCCGCCGCGAGCAAGAGCCTGGGGACGGACGGTCGAGCAACGCGAATCGGGCGAAGGATGGTCATTGATTGGTCCAAAGTGACGACGGATGGATGGCATTTGTAAGCCGTGAGAAGATCGAATGTCCGCCTCGTCACACCATGCTTGGGCCTAGAAATGTGTCACCCACTCCCAAATCTGCAGGTGCTCTTTTCAGGAATTGGCGCACAAATACACACAAATACACACAAAACCCATCAAATCTCTCATCAGCACCCATCTGAGAACCATCTGAGGAACCCCTTCATCCCTTAAAATAACAAGCCAAACGAGGTCTCTCTACGTCCATGTTCTGCCAAACTGGGCAAGGCGACCGCTCTCCCGCCCCGGGCTCCGAGAGGCCACGGAGGAAAGGTCACCAGTCGCATCCACGTGGGCCGCGGAGCACCGCCACGTGGTGCGGCAAGCGCGCGCGACGGTTTGGGACCCCTGTCGTCACATTCCAATGACACTCCAAGGTTGTAACAGAACAAGTATGCGCAAGTATCTAGTTCTTTGATGTTCTTTGTCTCTTCTGAGCCAAACGCCAAACATCATTGCATTTGGAAAGGTGCGGAAAGTCTACAATCTGCACAGTCAAGCATTTTGAAGTGATAGCAGGAAATGAAATGAACAATGTACCATTTGAGAGCGGGATACTTGCCAGAACATGCACATGACTGCACATGACTGAACACATCAGATCGATTCAGTCTGTGTCTGTGCGGTTCCTTTCATGTCACTTGCGTCAACCATTTGCATCCATGGTCAAAAACAAAGAGTCATTCAGTTGTAATATAGGCTGTGATGGATCGGTTGCCACTGTTTGAACGTCTGCGATGAAACCTGAAACATGCATTAAAGCTACGTGCATGTCGCAAAGGCTGCTGGTTTTCCCACCGACTTTCCGTGCTCTGCTCTTCTTACGAAGATCTGCACCCTGAGAACTTGCGACATTCAATGCGAAAGCGAACTCATCTCTGACGGAGGCACCTCATCAAGCACAACAAACTGGAAGCATCAAATGGTATGATCTCGCCGTGATACACTCAGTGCCTCTTTCCGGTCAAAGAAACATACATATACTTTTACAGTAGCATGTTCTTCGAACAAAAAATGGTCGTACTGTTGAATCTACCTATGTTTTTAGCAATTCTAGGCAGCTTAACAATAGCACCTGGTCGGGCATCAGGCCAGTAAGGAGCTGGGACAGGCTGCACCTGTAGAGTTCATCTCTGGTGTAAAATGTGGAACGGTTTATGTTTTTTTAATATCTTCTTGGTTTACCACATTACAGCATTGTGTTTGGACTGCAACAACTCTACAGCACACTTGTTTTGTGGTACAGTAGAACCAATTTCTTGTCGGTGCCTTCTCTGCCACCGTGCAGTGGGCCTTGGACAAAAGGAATGGGGTTGGCCGTTGGCTTGGAGTTCATCATTGAGTTCTGATGACCATCTGCCTCACTCATTGCCATACTGGCACAATTCAGAGATGCCTTGCTAACATCTAGCAGCCGCCTTTTCCGATGTCTTTTTTCTTCCCTTGGTTTGCTGATTTGCGGAGAGAGCTGGGCACTGGTGTCGATTCGACATGATTCGACAGCTCCACAGATCTTTTCCACATGCATTCCAAATTGAAATGCAGAAAGCCGTAGTTGGAACTAGAGGAACCTATACCAACATGCTAGCGCAAGTGACTGCAGGATCATCGAAGTAGCAATCGAAAGCATGAAACCCACTGGCGCTGGCACATGTTTTGGGCACTGGACAAATCCGAAAGACCGTTCACCAATCCTTCGGTAGTCGCATTCCGTGGAAGAGTAGTGCTCCAATGCTGGAAAGTTCTTCTGAAGCCAGAAGCCCTCTATCGAAGAAGAGTTTGACTTGGGATGTCGCCTTTGGGCATTTGCAAGGGAATAAAAGAATGCAAGCTCAGTGCTCGGGTCACCGACTTCTTCGCAAATCTGGTCCATGCCATGGGACATCTTGACCGCGGCCTCTTCGGACAAGACATCGGTCAAAATGACGTGGATTGGTGTCAAAACGTCTTGCTGCAAGGAAGACCTGAAGTCGGAAGGGCTTAGCAAATGAAAGCACCTCAGACCCCATGAGAAACCACTTGAGTTCTCATCCAACTTCACAGCAAGTGTGTGACTCAATAATAGCACAACATCTGCGGCTCTGTCATCTATCAAGCCTTGAAGTGCTTGCGTCTTAAGACTTTTGAATTCGTGAAGCGCCGTGCGCTGCAACATGTCAAAATGCTGTTCCACCACCTGGGCATCTGGGAGGAGACGGATGCCTCGAGGAAAACTCTCCAAGAGCGCCAGGAACTGGAGCACAGCTGGCCAAAATTCTGTTTCATCGTGGTGTTGGTCCATGCAATCGAGCAAATCAATACAAAACTTCATCACCCTTCTGTAGTGTGTGTGTGTCCATTTCCTCAATTTTACAAAAGTGGCAAACAATCAGGAACCTTGAAGCAAACGCTGCATAAATGCATGTCTTTCATCAAGCAAACAGCCATTCTGAGCTGAGGCTCTTCTGAACTCCGTGTTCTGGTTGAATTCATGCCCATCACACCCAAGAAGCATCTGCAAAACCCTTTCCAACCAAGGAGCACGTGGCGCCCGTGGATGGTCATAGTGCGACGCACATTTCAATGCCCGGGCGAGACCTGAGAAAAGCATTCACAATCAGATCCAAATTCAATTCAAGGCGTTGCCAAACAAAAGTTGACATAACTTGCGTTAGATAACACAAATGGAACAATGCCTGGCACGACCCTGATTAACACACTGAACCCCTGACAATGCACAATAGGGGGTTACCCCGCACCGATGCGAAAACCCAGAACAAATCCACAAAATCCAAAAACACGTAAGTCTTCCGGCATGTTATCCACGAGCAATGCTTCGAAGCCAACTCAGGGCCAAACAATCACATTTGCTCCCAGCCCTTCCGGCAGCACGAGCGCAAGCGCAATGGCCAAGAACACCATACAAGAGTTTGCCAAGGTATTCTGCATCCATCTTGCTGAGTTCCATGTCGCTTTTGATGGCATCAGCGAGGTCCAGAGACATGTGAAGCCTTTTCCCCGGAAGGATCAAATCCATCATCCGCTGGCAACGCTCCAACAACAGCACCTGTGCCAAACCCTTGTTGGGTGATGCAGCCAGCAACCGAAGGTACATCGGGGCAACAAAAAGCTTTTGAAGAATTGAGGCGAACCTCAAATCGTCACAAAGCTGAGCACAAAGGAGCAAGCAGCAAATGTCATTTTTTGGAATGGCCCAGTCTCGAGTGATTCGCGCCGCTCCTGTCGGTGTCAAAGCCTGCTGGGCAGAATCCAGGATGAACTGCACTTGCTCCTCCCACTTGCTTTGGTCTAAGCTTCCACTGGCAGCATCAAAGAGCAAGCTGTCAAGAAATGGGAGACTGCCTGCAAAGACATGAGAGATAAGCAGCTCAACCTCTGGCCAAAGCAAACCCTCAGCATCAATCTTCGTGATTTGACTCCTTGGCAACTCGCCGATCTCAAGCAAGCTTGACATCTCCTGCAAAGCTTCAACCGGTTTTGGTGTTTCTTGGCAATGATCTGTGCGGAAGAATGCATCTGCAGCAGCTAAGAGTCTCAAGGCTGACAATGCATTCTCTGAGTCCTCGTTTCTGCTCAACAGTGCTGAAAGTGCTAGAATCTGCCGACAGTCTGCTGTCAGATTTGTAAGGAGATTGGCTTTAGGCACTTGGCCGTAGAAAGCGAGCCTGGGAGGCTCGGATAGTCCCGCGTCAGCCACAAATTGCGCCATGCAATGCATCCATGCTGCGAAGCGCTGCGGTAGGGTGGTCAACACTTCTTCGTATTCAGCTGGAAGCTTTTCAGCAAAATCAATGTCCTGCCGACACGCACAACGATTTCAAATCACTTCCCGGGAAACAAAAGACCTTTTCAACAAAAAATATGGAAGTATGGAAAGTCTTGGAATCGGCCGAACCTCCAAGCATGCTGGAGGTTTATGACATGCGGAGTGTCACTTTGGGGAGAGCGCACTCCCTCTGGCAGTCCATGTTTCTATCATGTTCTATCCATGAACGAACATCTTCGAGGGTTGCCACTTTCAACACTTCACTCTTGCACCTGAACAAGCTGTGACAGCCCCGCTCCTGGTAGAAATGGGAATCGGCTGGCACCATGTCGCAAGCTTCACAAACAATGGAATCGCAAATCTTCGAAGCCGTCAGGTGTTGATCTTTGGCAAAAAGTGCAGCAGATGAAATGACATGGAGTGGAGTCAAGATCATATCTCGCAAGAGTTTCTGCATCTCTTGCGGGCGCGCAAGCCCGAACAGCCTCAAGCGTCGTCTGACACGGCCCTCTACACACGGATCAGCGCTATCTGTGGCTGGTTGCATGAACTGCTGCTGAAGCTCCTGCAACAACTCAAGCAGTTGGTGCCTAGACAATGCGTCTACAACCTTGCAGCTGATGATGTCCGTGTAGTCGTTGACCAAGGCAGCCGTGCTCTCTCGCAACAATTCCGCAGAAAGCCTCAGGGAATCACAGCGCGCGCGAATGATGACGTCTCCTGAAAGTGTCATTTTCTGCAAGGCCACCATGTCCAAGCGTGCAAGCGAGGTAGAATCATCTTCGAAACAAACACGAAACCAAGACACATAGACTATATAAACTATATAACTAATCAAATGCCACAGGTGCAGAAACCAAGTGGTAAACCCGGACTGAAAAATGGTAGGTACGTACACAAGGACTCCCAACAAATCTGACGGTGTCCACTTCAGACCAAACAAAAAGGCTGAAGTTGGGCGAACCGCAACGGGAGGTCCCGGGGCCCAGTACACAACATTGATACACGCGCATGCGTGTGACACGCCACCTAAACCAAAACATGGAATTGGACCACGCTGCTCTCAACTGCAGGTTGCCAGAAGGCTTTTAGGTTGATCAGGAGCAAAAGACTTGAATCCCGAAAGGCCCTTGCCTCGGCACCAGTGGCATTGGGAGGCCTCTCGCTTCAATCTTCTGCAAGTTGTCTTTGCAAAGCTCTATTTTGCGTCGGATGCTCAGAATCTCCTCAACCCTTGAGGAACGATGGACTTTAGGAGTCACCTGTTCAAAAACAAAAATTACAGCAAATCCATGCTTGATCCATGCTTGAACAATCATGGGCGTTTTGACAGGCAAGCCCATCTTCCGAAGACTTAGGATATGATTTGGGACTTCCGCCGTTTTTTCTTGTTTTTATATACTGGTTTTGTCCTTGGTTGCCTTAGATGGAGATACGTCACAGGGAGAAGGCTCGTGCCAACCAGGTGGAGGAGAGTCGCAATCGATAGATTCATACATATCCTCGTGATCCTCATCGTGGAGACCATCTGCAGAGCCAACCAAAGTGCTTGCTCGCGATCCCGGGTCAGCATCTTGAATCAATGGCTGTGGGCAATGCTGGCTGAGCAAGGACACGGCAGAATGGAAGGTGTTCACAGCCAGATTGGCCATGGCCAGTGCTGCATCTTTGCCTTCAAACTCCAAGTACTGCAGCATTTTGTAGTGCTTGGCAAGTGTCCGAGAGGTTTCCTGCAGGGAACCATTCTGATAGTCGACGTCCATCCACATGCAGGCGTGTTGAGCGATTTCACCAGCATCTAGAAGCAGCCAGCCTCGAGCTTGATCCAAGTACTCATTCACCATTGACATGTCTGCTCTTGGCTCCAAGTCTTGCAAGTATGACTCAACCTCGGCATACCAACAGATCTTTCCTATCTTGCAAACTGATTCGAGGAAACTATCACAGAGCTTGGCAGCTTTCAAGCTTGCCACAGGTTCAATGGCTGTAAGGGATGCATGCAATGGAGTCAACATGTGTTCTCGCAATCGTGAAGACAGCATCTCAGCATCAGTCAACTGGGCAAGATTCACTACCCATGATGCATCAGAGAAGGGCAACATAAAGTCACTTTCTGTAGACGCAATGCTGACTTTCCTCTTGACAGTCTTCAAAAGGCCAGTGAATCTCTGCAAAGTTTGTGGCCCTGGCATTGATTCTTCAACCTCTTGCCACAACATCTGTATTGTCTTTGGCAGAGATGCAAGGATGGCAGCTGAATCGACCAGGTTCCCCTCTTGCACCGAAAGACCGTTCTTCAAATTGTTCAACTCAGAAAGCTTACACTGGTTGTCTCTGAGAGCCTCCCCCACTCGCACCCTACACTTGACTAGTTCAGGCATTGGGTCAGTATCAGTTCTCACTTCATCTGCACCGAAATTGCTGGAACGGGCAAGTTCTTTGGAAACGTCGAGTTGCCTTTCCTGGCTTCCGCGGCGACTGCCACGCTTGTCCTCTTCTTGGAGAAAGCTTGCTGCCTTTAGACACATGAGACGGCCCACTTCATCCTTCCGACCGAGGCACCAAAGCAAACAGCGACGCTTTGCTTTTTCGATTGTTTCAACTGTGGCACCGGGAGGGACCTCAAGGATTTGGTGCGCTTTCTGCCCAAGCAATCGGACCATCTCCCGTTCCTTTGTTGCGAGAGCGAAAGACAACCAAAACACACACGTTGCAATGTAATATGTATGCGGTATCCGGTATCCTTCGAATTCAAAATCCAATATGTAACATCTATCATCAAAATTCCAAAACAATCTGGTTTGATCACTCTGTTGGTTTTAAATGTTCACGTATCTAGCAAATTATTTCACCCAAAGATTCCTCCTCACCAATCTGTTCAAGCTGATGACAATGAAACTCTGCCAGGTACGCAATCTCTGCGCGAAGTTTTTCTGCCGGAAGGGCCTTCGCGTGTTTCTGAGTTCGCACTGAATCCATCTCCAGAGCAAGGTAAATGTCCTCATCGCTGAAACCCATTTCCTCAAATGTCTTCTTTTTTCGAGCTTCTTCTCGACTTATTTTGATAAGTTCCATGTAGACCTGAAGTTGCTGCATCTTTGCCTCAAATTGGTTTCGAGTTGCTTTGTCTGCCTGCGCGTGCTTGTCTGGATGCAGCCTTCTGGCAGCTTCTCGGTAGTACCGGGTGATCTCTGCGTCTGTGATGTGTTCATATGAACCTTTCTTGGGTCGGAGGGGTTCGTGACCCGCTTCCTGTCCCAGGAACGAATAAGCCTTCTCGAGTTGCTCATTCTCTGGCAAATTGATGATGGAGGCAAACCAGTCTGAGAGCCCTTCCCACCCAAGCCATTCCTTAGGTCAAAAAATAAATATTGAAAAATTGCGTTGCACAAGTCCAATGGCAACCCTGGCAATCGAGACCACAAAAACCAAGGTCAGTGTCCCGTCAGTCCAAGACTTTGGCAAGCCAAAGCCTACCAAACATGATGAGAGCTCTTGTAGGAAACTCGTGTGGGGCACTCTTGTCCCACTGTTGTTGGCCGCTGTAGTAGCAGACTCTTGTCGGACACTCTTATAAAAGGGCTGAAATATGTTTCCAGTTCTGTTTTTCCCCAAACAGTGTGGACACATTAGGGTTTTTACAGTAGTAGTTAAGCACCGGTCTTAGATCGAGTGGGCGGCGCGGGCGTGACCGGCTAATTTGCTGCTATTTACAATACATTCATGCCTCTCAAAATCGTCGACGTGCATTTCAACTGTGCAGGCTCGCAAAATCTGGGTGCCCGCGGGCTGCGCGCATTTTCGCACATGGTGGCCACTTTTCGTGGCAGGCGCAAGGGACACCTCGTGCATTGGTGGTCCAACTTCGACTTTTCGTGACAGGTGCAAGGGATCGGAGCGGCTTTGCTTCGAAGTGCAGATTTCGTGGCAGCTGCAGCACTTTGGACATGGTGGTGATCTTGGAGGCTCTGATTTCGTGACAGGTGCAGTGAGTCGTAGCTTTTGAACACGTGGCTCGTTTGCAGATTTCGCGGCAGGCACAGCACTTTGTGAACCTCAAAGTGCAATTTCGTGGCAGGCACAGCACTTTGCGACCTTGAAGCGCAGATTTCGTGGCGGGCACAGCACTTTGTGAAGCTCGATGCGCAGATTTCGTGGCAGGGACAGCACTTTGTGAACCTTGAAGCGCAGATTTCATGGCAGGCTTAGCGGCTTAGCACTTTGTCAACCTCGAGCTTTAGATTTCGCGGCAGGCGTAGCACTTTGTGAACCTCAAAGTGCAGATTTCGTGGCAGGCACAGCACTTTGTGAACCTCGAAGTGCAGATTTCGTGGCAGGAGGCAAAACACTTTGCGCTCTCAGATGCTCGCGCTCACACACGCTCACGCTCACTCTCATTCACACTCACTCTCACACTCACTCTCATTCTCACTCTCACTCTCTCACCCTCTCTCAGTCACTCTCTCACTGTCACTGTCACTGTCACTCTCACTCTCACTCTCACCCTCACTCTCACCCTCACTCTCACTCTCACTTGCACTCACTCACTCACTCACTCACCCACGCTCACTCTTACACTCACTCCACTCACACTCACACTCTCACTCTCACCCACACTCACTCTCACTCTCGCGCGCTCTCTCTCTCACTCTCTCTCTCTCTCTCTCACTCACTCTCACTCTCACTCTCACGCTCACGCTCACGCTCACGCTCTCGCTCTCGCTCTCACTCACACTCGCGCTCGCACTCACACTCACTCACTCACTCACTCACTCACTCACTCGCCACCACCGCCACCCTCACCACAATCCCCACCTTCATCACCACCATCACCTCTCTGAACCCCAAAGCATCTATATAGATCTCTAGACTTTCTGCTTATAGACCTCACACACACACACTGTCTGGGGCCTCTTGCCGGGATTATTTGTTTCAGATCTGCTTGGATTTAAAATACTGCTGCGCAGGAACGCTCTGGCGCGGGATATCATGTCCCTTGGCTGTGGCTAGGGTCAGCCATCCAGTCGTTCACCATGAATTTTTCCACTTTGATGCAGAGTGGGTCTCAACATTGCGCAGAAGGTAAGGGGAGTAGCGCAGTGCCGGTTTGCAGCTGTTGCTTCGCAATCTACAGGGGACCGTGGCACCGTCACTAAGGATAAAAAAACCTTCGAAGTGTAGTTTGTGTTTTTGTGTGGCGCTCTGCAGGGAGGGTGGGCCATTCACTGTGGCCCAATCACAAGGGCACATTCACAGAGGGGCATGGCAAGCAGAGATGTCCGCAAGATTACGCATAGTTTTCAGATGGTTGTTGCGTGGCAATCTGCAAGGTGGGCCTCAACATCCACGATTGTAGCACAGTCACGCAAGACAAAAGAATTGTTTGGTCACATTTTGACATGTATGTAAGGAGGGCCTTAACGTCTGCCACTGCGGCACGGTCACGATTGATAAGTGCAGTTGCGTGGCGTGTAGTTCTGCGCGCGTAACAATCTGCAGGGCGGGCTTTAGCATCCACCATCGTGGCACTGTCACAAAGGGTAAAAGACAGTAGCGTGGTGCGTGGTTTGCGGTCGTTGCATAGCAACCTGCAGTGGATCTGGCGCTTGCTGTTGAGGTCCAGTAGCGCCCACAGCGATCTGGCGCTTGCTGTTGAGATCCGGTCGTGCCCGCACACCGCTCTGGCGCTTGCTGTTGAGGTCCAGTAGGGCCCACCCACTCTGATCTGGCACTTCCCGTTGAGGTCCGGTAGCGCCCACTCGAGCTTACATGCCCACTGCGATCTGGCACTTGCAGTTGAGGTGCGGTAGTCAAGGAGAGGAGGAGAGGAGATAACAACCCTCACCTGGCAGGCGGGGGATGAAAAACCTAAAATCCCGGATAAACTGACCTCCCTTGTAAACACTCTTGGACACTCTTGTACAGGACACTTGTGGGCCACTGTCGTAAGAGCTTCTTGCGCGCACTGTTGTCGGACACCCTCACACGCTCTTGCGGGACACTGTTTGTACAAGACGTCCTCCCAAAGTGGCGCGTCCTCCAAGTTTTGTGCGTCAACATGGTCAAGTCCTCAAAAAAAGCGTTTCGTACGAGACCTCCTAAAGGTCGCGCGTCCAGTCTCTAAAACGAGCGTTTCGCGCGAAACCCTTCTCACTCCCGTAGCCCCGCAATCGTCGCCACCTGTCTTTCCACAACCTTGCCCAAAAGAATCATGGTTAAGCAATTAAACACATTGACTGGTCGGCGCATAAAATGTCTGATGGAAGGTTACCTGGATGTCGGCCCACATACCTGACCGATATGTATATGGACTTCGCCTCACATACTTGACAGAACATCGCTCGGCACGCATACCTGACAAAATCAAACCTCAATTTGACACTCCACAGAAACACGCGCGCGTTTCACGTCACACGTTTCACAAAGGACCCCTGGTTTCTACACTGACATACTTGATGCACCTGGCAAGGTAGCTGAGTTTCACCCCAACCCTGGCAAAGCGCATGTGGGTTTATGTCGCAACGTAAACTTGAAAACAGCATCTTGTCAAGTATAGTGTACTGTGACAAGACTGGAAATGTTGTCTTTTGTGTTCGAATGTTCAGAACTTTGGTTTGTTGCCCTGTGGAACGCCTGCTAAAAACTTTGCGCACCCTACATTGAGAACCTGGGCGAGGTTGCCTTTGACAACTGCAATTACCATGTCCTAATATGTCTCTGAATGTAAGACAAGAGTCTGCAAAGTCGGCAGCTTTTGATACATTGGCGAAAGCGGCGCTCCCTGCTTTTTCACCAAGAATGCCACCGAGCACGGCCCCAATTGCACCGCCCAAAGCTCCTCCCACAGGACCGAGGAAGCTGCCTGCAATAGCGCCCACTTGCGCACCTCCCCAACCACCTAAGGCGGTTGGAGCAGCAACACACACTGCCTTGGTCAAGTTGCTTCTGCATCTGGCCCATGTGATTTCTCCACGCAGATAGCTGACAATGGTGCGCACACCTTCATAGCCAATTTCAACCACTGGCACGATCCAACTTGCTGCAGACACCATCATCCGCTTAGACGCTGTTCGAACCGCGCTCCAAACCACTAAAGCTTTGACTGCAGAACCTCCACGCTCTGCCGCCTTCTGCGCCTTGGTCTTCGTGGGATCTCGAAGAATTCCAATGGATTCCTGAGCAGCTTGGAGAACTGCAAAAGCCGCAGCACCACCACCTGTGACGCGTCGTTCGATGCTTTGAGTTACTATAGACATGCCCCATGAGTGGGCTGCACCCTGGGCTGCAGCCTTGGCCAAATCTTTGTCCACTTTACCTTCTCGCAAATAATGCCTTACGCCAGAACCTAAGGCTCCTGCAATGCCCTGGCATGAATGAGAAGAGAGTTGCGTGCTCCTGGACTCCTCCTGTTTCAAGACAAGTTCATCCTCGTTTTGCGACAAGCCTCCTTTCCCAGATGTGACGCTTTTCAGAAAGAGGCCTTCGTCCGACACAGTGAGAACACCATTTTCCAGCGTTTTCGTGACAGTTCGATAGTCCATCATGCAACAAGACTTGTACTGGATGGAAGAGCCGTTCTGACTCATCAGACTCAAGCCTTCAATCTTTCCCTTTTTGATCACGCCTTTCCTCTCCTCTCGGAAAGTCCATCTCCTCTCATCCGTGCAAACAATGGCATTGCGGTCATAGCTACTTCCATCCACCGATTTAGTGGTAGTCACTGTCCCTGTGCTTTGATCCTGCCTTGCCTGTCCCAGCACGTTTTTGGAAACAATCACACCATCGACCACTGTCTGCATCTCGTGCCTTGAAGACCCACTGGAGGAAGACATCAAGCTCTTGTGGTCAGGACGATGTCTTTCTTGGACTTGTGTCTCAAGGGACTTGCCATAACAGGTCTTCACACTTGTGAGGCCGTAGGTATCCAGTTTCAATTCTTCGTGAAGCCCCTTGACTTCTTTTCGAATTGTCGTCTCACCAACGCGTTTCTCATCCATCTGCTTTCCATGCCCAATCTCACGCAAGTCAGTACGATCAAGTACTCTGTACTTGGCATCACACCCTCGGTTGACTGTAGACTCTGCAGATGCGCCCAAACCTTGGCCGCAAGACCAAAAGGAACGACAACTACAACGCAACATGGGCCCGCCCTTGCCCATTTTATCTACTTGTTGTCAGTTCCTTGACCCAAGGTTTGCAAACTAATCTATATAGACACCCTCTCTGTCACACTGGTGAGAATCAGTCGTCGGTTTAGCGCAGTTGCATTAGCATTCAAGCGGCAACTTGAGACCTATACAAATAAACTAATATAATATATATATATAATATAACATATATATATATATATATCAATCTTTTAGGAATTGGTGTCCAGCACCAAAACCCCTTGACAATACACATGGTCTATATAGACCTTTACTTGATCCTCCATGGATCTTCATGCCTCTGCGGGCATATGATTAGCCTCTGCGGGCTTTTATTGTGCCTCTGCGGGCATGCCTCTATAGGGCTGTGACTAATTGGCAAGTCACTCATTGATTGCAATTGCACTAGAAGCACGAATCACAAAGGATTTCAGCTCCTTCCACGTCCCCTGTACTGGTCCTCAAAGAGGATCAAAAAGTAATGCATAGTGGGCAAGGAGGGCTTGGGAAGGGGGGGACAAACTCAACTTAGTAAGCATGCTCAACCCTTCCTGGATGTACTGACGGGCTGCACCCGAGGACCCCCAACGTCCGCGCAAAAGGCTGCGTTCCATAAGGCCATGTTGGCGGAAATCTTCTGTGGCACCGCCTCTGCGCAAGGAATAGGGCCTAAAAGACCGGGGCAAGTGAAAAAATTTAAGCAGCAGTTTGAATTGGGTTTTGAAGTCGGGCGTGGAGCGATTCCAAAGTTTACTCTGCGTTCGCCCAAACAGCTCCAAAACAGTACGACAAATGGCCACTGTTCCTGGATGTTGCACGACCACATTCTCATCAACCTGTCGGCGAACCCCTGTCTTAGTGTCACCTAGTCGAACCACTAAGGTGTTTCCTTTCAGGAGCAAGTGGTGCAGGCGGAGTTCAAACAGTTCTCCTGTTCGCAACATGCCCCAAAAACCTAGGCACAAGCACAAACAAAACCTGAGGTTCTCAAGTTCCAGTGTCCGTCCAATTAGGGCCATTATGACTTCCAGCGGGAAAGGCGGAGCTTGCCGAGGTCTTTCTATTCTTCTCCAAATCCCATATAGCTTCCAGGCGGCCCGTATCTTCCCTTTGCACAAGGGAGAAAGTGATGCAAGCCCGACAATGTGTCAGCCACAGAGGTGATGCTGGAGCCTCGAAGATACTCCTGGCCGATCCACTCAACTAAAAAGTCTTCAATGTCTTCTGATGTGGTTTCCAACAAAGGCAGGATGGCCGTGACCGCCAGGAAATATCGAATACGGGTTTTAGTCGCGATTGCTCGATCCCGCAGCGAAATCCCCCGCCGTTTCAGGCGCCGGCGGCGTCGCAGGACATCAGGCGCGAGACCCTTCATCGGTTGGGCTGTCAGCCGAGTCAATGTGAGCTAAATACAACTGCCCATGAGCGGCCAAAAGCACAGCGTTAATTTTTCTGACAATGTAGGTGACCTTGTGGCTCCCCGTCCTTCCTTTTGAAAGGATACTCAAACTGACATATGAGTCTGTGAGGTGGAAAAGCCTGCGGTTTGCGATGGTCCTATTCAACGCACGCCACAACAATGTGAGGTAGATTGCACGCAATTCAAGTGCGTTTATATGCTCTTCACGCTCCCACCGAGTTTTAAAGACGTGGCTCCACTCCCACCAAACCGACCAGACGCTTTGACGGGGAAGAGTCTTTGGGTTCAACACTTGTCCAGTCGAAATTCTCACATCGCTACCAGTGTGTCGAGCCCTGGCTGCGAGATGCCGATTCATATCTTCAACGACATGGTGGGCGCCGCACGCAGGAAAATCAACACCTACCTGCAGGGGGCAAAGCAGGGGCAACCGGAGTCCACAGCCGGGAGGCGAGCCCATGCGACCAAACAAAACCTGCACATCAAAGAACTTGGTCCAATGGTAAACCGCAGCCGCCGCGAACAACGAGAACGACCCAATGGAGAACGAATCTCCTACCAGTGAACAACGTTCGTCTTCGAAGGCGGACTTATTGCCCTTGGCTTTTGACGCTGCCATGCACACTATTGTATGTTGATGACCGTATCCCATCAGTCTTTCACGCTCGCTCGCATTGAGCAGCCTGGCAGAACTCTGGTCAGGATGCGTCACCAAGAATTGGCTTTTATACTGGTAAGGTGGGAATCTATACTCATGCGACCACCACCGACTGCGAGTCAAATCATCAGTTCGTTCTAAACCTGCCGGACGGGGAGGCGGTCTATCTCGTCGAATTGCCTTCATGAATGTCGGGTAAACTGCCAGAGGGTCGTTTTGCTTCCAACCAGGTTCAATCCACCTGACTAGGAAGGGGCCACTCTCCTTCCACGAGAACCTCGACAAATCCGTCCTTTGGAACAAGAGTCAGTCCTGGGAGATCCAGTGAAGTCCAACAAGAACGGGGCCTGGAGTTGGGGACCTGTTTCCGAGGATCCAACCTGTAAGGTTCCACTTCAAGCAAAGCACTGATCTCATCTCTCACGTCGCTATCCATGCTGGAGACATTTTCCACGAAAAATTGGAAAGTCTTCTCCGGGAAGAGCTCCGCGCAGTCTCCAAAGACTCGGATGGCCTCATGAATAAGGCTACTTGATGGGCCGCTCAGGTTCCGCCTGTTGGCTCGCACCGAACTCACATCAACACAAGGAAAACCTGCCCATAGGTGAACAGCTTCAAAATCCCCAACATCCTTGAGAAGCTCCAAAAGAACATCTTTGGTCAATGTCCGCGCGTCCTCATGAAACATGGTCTCAGGCCACCTCCGGGCTACCACTCGATTTGCGGGAGCATGTATGTCACACGCCGCCATGGCTTTTACTTTAACCCCAGCTATATCATAGCAACGGGCAGCGCCGCCAATTCCGTTGAACAAAGAGATTGGAACCACTGGAACACCGTCAGGGAGGTTAGCACGTTCTTGGGAACAGAGGAAACTTGCTCCAGCCGTAGTCAACGAGCGTCCAATTGCAACTGCCCCTCCTGTGAGACTTGCATCACTGCAGGTCTTTGCCCCCAGCCACGTATGGTACAACGGCAATCCCAGCAATACTAGAAAGAGTTCATCTCGGGTAAATCTCTCTAGCCGAGGTTGCGGGCTTTGGCTTCGATCCTAGCACTCCCACACATCAGAGAAGTGAGCCATCGCCGGTCTCCGAAATTGCAGGATGAAGCACCATCTCCCCATAATTGTTTGAACTTTCTTACGGCTTAGACCCTTTTGACCTAACAGCCAAATCGTGCTTTTGCAGACCTTCACCAGCCTCTCGGCGCTTGCTCCAAGCCATTGACCATTGCCTCCAACGAAGGCGCCTAATTCTACCCCACTTTCTGCTGCAATCATCGATTTGCCAGGTGACACCACTATACCTGCGTCCTGCCAGATAGCCTCAGCCTCCTGTTGCACGCGGATCAGTTCTACAGCCTCATCATTTTTCACTTTAGCTCCAGCCGCAAAGTTGTCTAAATAGACCTGCCACCATGGTTTGCCTTGTAACTGTCCTTCAGCCGCACTGGCCAGAATCCATGGGGGTAACGCCGCAACCTTTGTTACTTGACCCGTAGGATCAAACCCCCCTTTCAAGAGAACATCTTCCACAATAGACTGCATCACACCTACTGCAGACGACCAACCCATGGGGAGAACCCGGCACGCCAAATACCATCGTTCTCCTGGGTCTGAACTCTGAAACTGCGGCAACTCCGCAGCTGAGAACGACAAGTTGAACGCCAAGTACGACGACCAGCTGGCATAGCGAACAGGTAGAAGGCACAGGCCATGTCACTTTGTGCAATGCGGATGGTCTCACCTTCGTCCACCACCACATTCAGCCACTGTGTAATACTTGGCAAGGCAGAAACTCTACCCGTGATCACTCGCAGCACGGAATTGGAGGGGACCAGGTTCATAATCAGCCTCAAAACCGTTTGCCCCCCTGGGAGCAGCTTTGACTTAGGGACCCCGAACATGCCGTTCAGCACCTTCTCACCTCTGTACCTGGCAACTTTGTTCTCCGGGATCCCACGACAGATACCCCGTCTCACCAGCTCCAACGACAACGCCATCCTGTCATCAGGCTCAACATGAATCTTACCTTGCAACCTAGGCAACTCCTGCCCTACGTCGGGGGTGACACAAAGCTCCGGGTGCTCCAACAACGTCCGCGTCCTACCATCCACCCAGTCTGTTGCTTGGATGGAACCGCCATGTCCCTCAGGGGGCAACCCAGGTATGACTCGCATCAACGACAGAGGTTCCGCTTTGCATACCTCCTCGCCAGTGTGGATCACCGAGCGTTTGTCAAAGTCCTCTCTAATAGCATCACTAGTCCAGTCCACTCGTACATCGTCCTTCAACAGCCGTTGGGCGGACAGTTCAATTGACCGCAGCAAATCCCTCTGAGCGGCCGTGGGTTTCGCCAGGCCTCGCCCAGGTCTACCCAGGGCCATGTTGTTATTAAATAACAAAATCAACTCACACCAGCAGGGCAAAGCACAAGAAGAGATCAAATCACTTGAACATCGAACTCTATCAAACGAATCAAACTCCGACAAAACTCGAACCGCATCGGACCAAATCGATGGAAGCGGAAAAAGTTTGCGTTTGGGGAGGACTCCCCGTGATTGCTGGCACTCTTTTTCAGGCGCCAACAAGGCGCGAAGTCGGTCCAGCAGCTCTTCTCGAGCGGCTGCGGTGTCATTGAAGACGAAGAAATGCAGCCCCACTCCCAACTCGGCTACGGAGCCAGCGGAAGTGATCAGGGCGTCCCACCACTTCAAACCGGGTGGCTGTTTGAGGCTCAGGCCTCCTTGTTTTTCCCCTTCTCGTCGGTCTGGTCCTGGTCCTTGTTCCCCTGTTTCTGCCAGCCCCATTGCTGGTTCTTCCAAGCTCCTCGGCCAGACCACGTGTTCTCCTTCGGCTTGCCCTTCTTTCCTTTTCCTTTGTTCTTCTCCTGCCAAGGCTCGGTTTTCTGCCAGCCCTGATCTCCTTTGCCTCTTGGGCGGTTGCTGCCCTTGCCCTTCTTGTCGTCCGCGGCCGTGACCTTCTCCATCAAGCGCCCAAACTTCCTGGCCGCCAGCGTGACTGCCGATCCGGCGGCGGTCTGATGTTCTGGAGAATACAGTTCTAAGTGCTTTGCCGCCGACCAGCCTTGGTCGAGGCTCGCCTGCTCTAGGGCTAGCCATCGAGCCGCGAGGGCGTCCCCCAACCGGGCGAGTCGTCCAACACGGAGAAGGTCGATGCAGTTTTCCGTCTCGAGATTGTTGGCTCACCGTGTTGCTTTGGATCAGGTTGCGCCAGTAGGTAATCCCCGTCCTGCAAAGGTTCTTGACCAAGTGGATGCCATCGCACCTTGAGAAGTTTCCTGGTAGGGGAAGAGGTCGTGGCCGTGGTCGCGGAAGAGGGAAAGGACCTAGGGCTTCTGGTTCCAGAAAGCGGTCAAGCAGAAGATGATGAGGGAGAAGAAGGTGAGGAACTTTCGGATGAACCTTCAACCGAGCCGGTTGAAGTTGAAGCGAAGACCAAGAAGCAAAAGACCAGCTCTGGCTCGTCCATACCATCGTCTTGTCCCTCCAGGATTTTCTTCAAAATTCGCCTTCCTGAAGGGCTCATACGATGCTCCGGGAAAGTGCTTCCATCCCAAAGCTCCAACTTGTGGACATGGAACGCCGAACCTTCGACCAGCACGGGCCTGCATTCAAGCAAATGTGAATGCTGCCAGCCCGTCGGTTGAACGTGGACGACAACCAACTCATGGCCTCGGGGTTGGCGCTTCCCAAGGCTCTTACGTGCACTGTCTCCCGCGACAAGATCACGAAAGCTGCCTCGATGCCTTCTTGCCCATAAACCTCGCCTGGCAGTTCTGTAGTGATAACTTGTCCTCGACGAGGTGCAAAAAGGCTCCATCGCTCGAAGTTGTTCACATCGTATTCTCCTAGCTCTCCCTTCACAGCCTCTGCAAAAGCCGGGGCCGTCATCGCTTCTTTGGAGTTGGGGGTAGGCCAGGAATGGCCTCGTGCTTTGACTGGTTTGGGTCGAACTCAAAATGAGATCTATCCAAGCTCCGGTGCAACGGGGCGAACGGATTGGCTTCCGCTCGATGCAGTCGCTTGTGCTTGCGACCCGCCCGATGCTTTGGCCTCCTCTTCCAAAACCTTTTCTTCTCTCCTCCTTCGTCCCCTCGATGATGAAGTCGTCGATGATGCTCCTGCCTTGGTCGCTTTGAGCCCTCTGCTCTCTCTCGGGGGTCACGCACTTCCGACCTTCGATCCTCAGGCACGGCGGACCCACCAGCCTCAGGAGATCGGTCCTTCCTTTCAACAGGACGTGGGGTGCTGGCCTTAGAAGCCAAGCCCTTCTCGTCCGTCCCCACGGGGACAATGGTAGCCTCCGACGCCTCTGACTCCTCCTCCTCAGACTCAACCTCGCCGCTCTCCTCTTCCAGAGGTCCTTGGACCCCGCTGCCGCGAGCTCCAGTTTCGCTTTCCAGCTCCTCTTTCTTGAGCTGGCGTGCCAGCGGCGGCCGGTCGACCGCTGGAGCCGAGGCCTCCACGGGCCTGCCCAGCCGAGTCGCGCCCCGAGTCACCCGGAGCGCTCGCACTGTTCGTGCGGCGCTCACGAGGACGTCGGAGGCGACCACCCTCAGGCCCGGGTGGTGCCAGGCGAAGCCTAGCCCGTTGCCCAGCGCTTCCCACGCTGAACACGCTAGGCACCAGGTGTCGGCGTGCGCGGGCGGCGCGCGCTTACACCTGGCGCACACAGACATCCCACCGCGAAGGACCTATTGAGCCCGTGGCCAAAGATGCATTTCGTGCAACATATCTCACCTAAAGGAAGATTTCATATATATAAATACAATATATATATATATTTTTTTTCTATCAATCAAGACCGACAACTGAAGTTCCCACCGAAGAAGACTCTGAAGAATTGACAAGGCTTCAATGCAACAACCGCATGCCCCTGGCCACCTGACGCCAATCTTTCAAGCTGTTTGAAACAGCTGGGTCTAGGTCAGGTTGAAAGTTAAGCGGGTGGCATCATGGAACGGTGTTTTTACTATTGCTGCTATGAACTAGACTTCGATTCTACGGTCCTGCGTGGGTACATACTTGTTTTTCTCAAACCACAGAAGCCCAAGAGGTCAAGAGCACAAACTCTGGTACCGAAACAAGTTAATTCATAATGTAAAGCATGCGGCGTACCACTTTCAAGGCTGGGGGTTCAAGCGTGTTAAGCACTGAGGACCCGGCCCATGTGAGAAAGGATCTTTCTTTGATTTTCATTGGATGTCCATGTAGCTGGGTCTGCCTTGCCCACGACCTGCTGGATCGTGTCAAACTTCTGCACACTTTGGGCATCGTACTTGTCTACCCTTGAAGCCAACTCTCGCGCGAAGGCTTCTGAGTTACCAGTCGACAACTCTGATGCCTTGGCGTGGTCTATGACATCTTTGATGTCCTTGGCGATATCCTTTTGGCCTTGGCGATCCGCAATCCAGCGATTTGCAATTGATGATTTCTCAGCAGCTGCCTCTTTCAATCTTGCTGCATCTGCACCTGTCAAGCAGAGCCTCCCAACTCTGGATGCGCCTAAAGTTGGATCCAGGTAGTGCGTGGTCTGAAGGTCATTGTCAAATTCAACGCCATTGTCAGTCTTTTGCCCTCGGCCGGTAACGGTGGAAGAAAGCACACCGCTTTTGACCTTAGCTGCCAGGTTCAAGAAGACGTGCAACGATGGAAAGGGGTCACATGTTTGTCAAAGTGGAAGGTAAGGCGTCTACCCACCACCTTAATTAGACAAGAAACAGTTTGGATCGTAGTCTCTTGTCCTGTCTGCAGGTTTCGTTGATGCTCGATCTGGCGCTCCATCATGGGCTTCATGCGCCCTTTAGATTGCTCCAAACCATACGTCTCAGTCACACGCCGAGATTCGTACTGCTGCGTCTCATCTGAAATCGTGTAGCCGATGAACTTGTCTTCAAAGGAGTCACACCAGTTTGAAACGCTCTTCTGGGAACATGTGACTCCTCTCCCTTGAGCATCATGAATGGAGCGGCCCTGGGTGTTCCACAGTCTTCCCGTTGACCAATCTGACGTCCTGCTGCCTGTAGTTGTACTGCATGACAAGCCATTTAAGCACTGACGTGAGAAGTCCTCCTCCGACCTCTTGGGCGTAGTGTGGGTTGTCACACTGTGAAAGTCTTCTTTGGAACCAAGCGATACCGATAAACCAGCGACGCCCAAGACATTCCCTTTCAAAAAGAGTCCACCATTGGAAGATGCTGTCGACGCCACTTGCAGCTGGCCTTTATGATCTTGGGAAATCTGAGTATGAAGCTCCTCTTTCGTCCCAAGGCCAGCCTGAACCTCTATCACACTTGCTCCGTCTACTGCAGCCTTCAAAGAAGCTCCGAAAGCATCCGTCTCTGACAGAAACTGCTCAGTTCCATCTTTGGATGCACAAGAGATGCTTTCTTGAAAGCGCCCAAG